GTTTACATTTTGAGTTTGAATGTACTGAATTAATTCACAACCCAATGGTTGACTAGCTTTTTTGAATCTGAAAAGTATATTAGCTCTCTTGATAATTGCTCTCTTGATAATTATACATGTGCATTTGTTTTCCTTATACCCCAGGTTTTTGTTTTGGGGGTTTGTTTTGTTTTGTTTTTGCCTTTCAGATATTTTCAGTATCTATTGTGCTGCTACATCATTTGTTACAGTGTTTTGCTTTTTTTATTTAGTGCTGCATCTTAGACATTTTTCATTATATTAAAAATAGACCTGGGCTTCCCTGGTGGCGCAGTGGTTGAGAGTCCGCCTGCCGATGCAGGGAACATGGGTTCGTGCCCCAGTCCGGGAAGATCCCACATGCCACTCCGCAGCTGGGCCCGTGAGCCATGGCCGTTGAGCCTGCGCGTCCAGAGCCTGTGCTCCACAACGGGAGAGACCACAACAGTGAGAGGCCCGTGTACAGCAAAAAAAAAAAAAAAAAGACCTGTATAAGAGTTTGTAGTATGAATGGACCATAATTGAACTGTCATTGGGGGGGTTATTGATTTATCTCTGTCTTGTCACCACTGTTAGTAATCTGGAAGAGACTATCCTTGTACAGTCTTTGCAGCTATACAAATGGGATTTTGTAGAGTGAAACTTCAGGATCAAGAGATTATGTTTGCATTTTTGATTTGATAAGAACTACTAAATTGACCTTCAGAGAAATAATACTAATTCTGTTCCCAACAGTAGCGTGAGAGTACCCTTTTCTTCACACCCTTTTAACATTGCGTACAGCTGCTCTTTGTCATTCATCTGATGAGCAGAACGTTTCATTTTAATGTGCACTTTCTTCATTTATTAATGAAGTTGAACATCCAATTATGTTATCTGTATTGAGTTCTGTTAGTGGCCATGTTTATATTTCCATTAGAATGTCTTTTCTTATTGATGGTAACAGAGTTGTGTATGTTAAGGGCAATGATTTTTTAATCCCTTGTTTTGTAAATATATACTCCCAGTTTATCGTTTGTAAAAATGTTTACTTTCCGTTGATTGTCCAGGACTGCCATTTGTGTCATCAGTTTTTTATTATTACAATAAGTGTGTCAGTAAGAAAATAGTTTTGGGAATGGTGTCATCTGTGATGAAAGTGCAGAGTAATACTAAGGCTCCAAAGCAATGAATATCTTAATAACTCCTGCAGTGCCCCAAAGAAACTAACCTTAAGGTTAAAAGTAGTGTCCTGGCTTTAGCTCATTTAGAATATACATTTAGGTCTTTGTTAGGTTTTTCCCAGTTTTGCAAAGGCAGTCTAAGTCTTTGATAGGTAGTATTTGCTTATTGCTCTAGAGAGGTCTTATGTTTAAAAAAAAATAGTAATTTTGTAGGAAAATGAGTCTTATTAATAGACTATGCTAATATGACTATCAGTACTTAATAACTACTTGCATAGGTCATATTTTCTACTATGAAGATAACTCTCCAGTTGTTAGTTGTTGATATATTCTTTATGCCACTCTTCATCTTACACTCAACATTCAGATACATTTGTTTAAAAATTTTTCTTTTAAAATATTAATTATTAGTTTTGGCCAGAAGCAAGACATTTTATAATTTTACTTTAAGTTGCAGATCAGATATTTCTAAGGAAAAAGAGTGGAAAATTTATCAGATAAATTACTTTTTCCACTCCAAACTTGACTTTTATAAGTGAATTTGATTATTGCTTAAGACATTTGTACAGAATTTATATTCCTGTCTGAAATGATTTCATTTCTGTTGATGCAAACATTTGGAGCCTTGATCCATAGTAGGACCTTAGTTTGGGCTAGGACAATGTTGTAATGAACTTAAGCTAGCTATGTTACCATGGTCATATTACTTTACTTTCTTGTGCTCCATTTTCTCTTCTATAAAGTAGGGATAATAAATGGTACCTGTCTCATAGGGTTATTAAAAGAATTAACTGATAATTGATGCAAAGCAATTAGTACAGGGCTTAATACTTAGTAGTTGGCCAGAATTCATCTGTTCTTATTGATAATTAGACTGTCCCTGAATACAAGCTTGAAACAGTATTTCAGTGTGGGTAAAATGTATTTTTTTTAAGGCAGAAATTACTGAACTGTTCTAGTTTTATCATTTATTTCCTGAATCATTATAAGCAAGTTGTTAACCCTCCTAAGCCTTGATTTTTTGATTTGTAAAATGTGGATAATGGTCTTACCTGCTTTGTAGTACAGTTGTAAAATTCAAATAAAGTAATAGATAGTGAATACTAAATTGCTTACTATTTGTTTTTACTAGTTTGTATACTTCTCTTCTCGTGTTTGGTCAAGTGTACATAGTCCCTTTCTTTTTCATTTCATTATCTCATATGTTTATTTCTGGTGAACTTCCTCTTTCCTTGATGCCTTTAGCAAATGTGACTTGGGAAGTGTAAATATAATTTTGGAACTTAATAGATTTCTTCTTAGTTAGTGCAATCCTGAGTTGGTAATGAGTTCATTTTTATTTTAATAAGAAATACAGACCTCTTTATCTCTCTTAATATCACTTAATTTATGAAATAAAGCATTATGCGTACAATTGAAGAAGCTTCCGTATATGTCTCTTACTGCACCACTTTTTCATTATAGGATGTTAAAATAGGTGAATAACAGCAAGCTAAATATTTTTCAGCAGTTATTTAATGTTTGCTCCAGAGAGATTATAGTTGTCATATTCTGCAGAGGTACTAGAACAAGTTAAGGAATTTAAATACACCTTTGGAATTATCTAATCATCCTGGTACATCATTCAGAAATCTAAGATTCTGTAAGTGGTCGTGTCAGACTCTTTAAAGAATGGACTTAACAAATCTCTATAGGAAGGGCCGTTTTGTATTAAACAACCCAAATTTGGTCAAGTTCTTTTCTGTGAATTCTAATGGCGGTCTGTAATTCCTTCACTTAACTCTAGTTCTTTTCTCAGAAATTACAGAAAAGAATCATCTTACCTCATCTACTTTTGTTAAAATTACATTGATTTATGTCCTCCTTAAGTCGTCTTTTCTTGTTCTCCATCCCCACAGTTTGCAAATATTCCTTATATAGTTTTCAATTAGCATATTTCAACATTTAACACATCTGAAATTGGAATGCGTTCTATCATCCATGATGTCCTATGATCTTCGTTCTCCAAGCAGCACTTATCACCTAGTTGTGCATGACTGAACAGTAAAAGTGCCAACATCAGAAGACTGAATGTCCGCGGTTTGCAAGAAAATCCTAGAAATAATGGCAGAACACTCTTTTATCAGCTAGGAATAAAATGATTATGTGAGAGAGTAGGAAAAGCGATGAATCACATGTGTTTAGCCACATTCCCAAAGCAGAAATCAAAAGTAGATCTGCTCCATTACTCAGTAAAGTTGATAAGGAGGGAAGAAAGGTAAGCCAGTTTTAAATAGGTAAGGAGAAAGTTAAGAACCAGTAGCAGTGGTTTTCAGTTATTTTATGGCTTGTTTCGTTTTGCTTTTAAGAAATGCTGCATTATTAGTAGGATTCTTGGTACGCAACAGGGGATGGATGGTATTGTGTGGAAATACAATGGACATTAGCACCTTGGATACAATAAGGGGTCTGAGTGTAAAGTTTAAGGAATAGATTAATTATTTTATTTGCCTATTTTCCTTTTTATGTATTCACAGGAGTGATAGGGGATAAAACCTAAGTCTAATAAGTAAAAATAAGTCCTTTCAAAACGTTTAACATAAATCTGAGTGATAAAAAATGTGATGGTTTGACAGTGATTTTACCTTTTCTTCCTTAGAGGAATGTACAACAATCTTTTGTTTCAGATTTGAAGAAATTTGGTATAGATCATTTTTATAACCCTTTTTTGAGCATACTTTAGTCTGAAAAACCTGGTGCCCAGAATTGGGCTTAGTACCTTTGATCTCATCCAGTAATTCATTCATTCATGATTCTTTGTAAAACTGCTTTTTAAAAACCACTTTATTAAGGTATGATTGACATATGAAAAGCTGTGCATACTAAATGTGTATGACTGGATGATTTGGGGAATAAGTACACATCCATGAAACTATCACCAAGACCATAGACATCTATCATCTCTCAAAGGTTCCTCCCAGCCCCTTTTATTATTACTATTATTTTGTGTTTGTGCACATGTATATATATGGTGACCTTATAAAACTCTTAACCAACCTTTTATTTATTTAATTTCTTTATTTTTTTGACTGTGTCGGGTCTTCGTTGTGGCGCGCGGGCTTCTCTCTAGTCCCAGTGCGCGGGCCTCTCTCTAGTTGTGCCGTGCGGGCTCCAGAACGTGTGGGCTCTGTAGTTTGCAGCATGTAGGCTCTTTAGTTGTGGCCTGCGGGCTTAGTTGCCCTGCAGCATGTGGGATCTTAGTTCCCCGACCAAAGATAGAACCTGTGTCCCCTGCATTGGAAGGCGGATTCTTTACCACTGGACCACCAGGGAAGCCCCTTAAGCAACCTTTATTTGAGCTATCATGTCTGTTGATACTTGAGGTCTTACTAACAAATTTTAGTAGTTTCTTAGTAGTTCTTTTGGACCCCATTAGTGGATTTATATTCTGTATCAAACTAGTTTCATGTAAAACTTTATCTTACTCATCTTGTGTTGAGGCATTTGTATTCACATTTTATCCCTGTTAAATTTCATCTTGTTGATGATTAAGTTCTGATTGTCATACAAAGGCATCCTTTCTGATTTTGATGCCTGCATCTTTATGGCATGTCAATTTAGAACTTTGTCCAACTTGATGTAAATATTCTTTGGGTTAGATATTCTATTTTCAGTTACCTCCCTACTTGCATTGATCAATTATTCTAAATAACTGTCAAAAGTATGCCCATTTTATACTTTTAATTTCTTCATATATTGCTTTGAAACTAATGGTACTGATATTTATTGTCAGTGGCACTGTTAAATAATTTAAATCTTTTTATAATTATTTTTCTTTAGAAATCAATGTGGACTGAACATAAATCACCTGATGGAAGGACCTACTACTATAATACTGAAACCAAACAGTCTACTTGGGAGAAACCAGATGATCTTAAAACTCCTGCTGAGGTAAAAGTTTGAGGACTGGAATTTAGAGATTAAATAGACTGGGTCTTTTTTTTTTTTACGATTTTGGTGGGTATTTGGCTTTCCAAAGAATAGTATTGCTTATATCAGAAAAGGATGGTACAAAGGCATTCAGAGGAGAAAAGGGTTTATACAGTCACACCAATCAGCAAAAAGACAAATAAAATTCATTCCCTTCTATAGGCAGACCAGTTTTGTTTACTGATATTTGCCCCTGCTCAGGAACCTTTGTCAGGTGGTATCAATTTAAGAAAGGTATTTAAAGAATAAATTGGAAGAAAAAAAGTACTCTCTCTCTGCTTGCCCTTTGTTTTCCTCTTTATAGCAAACCTGAGTGATTTCAGATATCGTCTACTGGGCTCTTACATTTTTCCAGTGGGGCTAGGATAATGGAGATGAAGTTAAATTACAAATACAAATACTTCCATCTTTTAGAATGGGAAATTGTCTCTTTGGAAAATATCCCCCCCCCAAGTATATATATTTCATTTTATGTTGTAAATTTTACCATTCAAAATATACAGATATGCAAATAAGATTGAAGGAATAAACTAAGTAAGCAATATTACCTGTGGTTTAATTAGGAAGTCTGGAGTCCTAAGTAAGAGCTGATCTGGCATTTCAAAGCTATACTTGAAGGTTTTTCCTAGTAGGCAGCATATTCTTTTTTTCCTCCTCTTAATTAAGAATTTGAGGAGGTAAAAATATTTTCCAGGCCACCACACTAATTATAGAACAGCAGTACTTGGGAGGGGAAGTTGGCAGATGATAAAATTTTTTATTTATCCCAATACTGACATAGATATTTGCCCAAGACACTGATTAAATTTGAGTTTTCAGTAGCATTCTCATTCCACCCTAACAGGTTCTGTATATTAGGTTTTAAGTATATCATACATAACAATGCTTCCTTACATAAGGTAGTTCACATAGGTTTGTAATAAATTGTTTGTGAAACTGAAATCTAAGCATAACCAGATCAGACTTTGGTTTCTCCCAAATTTTATGTTTTTCCTACTTGTATTAGTATTTGAGAAGCCTGTTTGTGAAATATGGATGGTAATTTTTACCTATGGTGGGATGTAAATGGCAAGAGCACATAGGGTTTGAAATTCAGATAGACCTGGTTTTGAATCTTGTCTTTGCCCCTTAATAGGTACATTACCTTAGACAAACATAATATATTCAAATAACATTAGTTAGTAAGTGTCCTATAGTTGGTAGCTTATATTATCACCATCTCGCAAGCTTTAGAATTGTATGGGTTGATAGTATGTAGTAAAAACAGTGATGTAAATGGTGAAAGATGCTAAGTATATTACTGTTAACTGAAGGTTTTTATTTTGCTTTAGCAACTTTTATCTAAATGCCCTTGGAAGGAGTACAAATCTGACTCTGGAAAGCCTTACTATTACAATTCTCAAACTAAAGAATCCCGCTGGGCAAAACCTAAAGAACTTGAAGATCTTGAAGGTAAAACAGGGAAAGATAATTTTTAATGTTACTTTTTTATGTATATATGTCATTCACATTGGAACAGTCCTTCATAAATAGGATTGTTCAAACAAAGGCCTTATATTTTTTAATTAAGTGATTAGAACGTTTTAAATGGTTTAACAGTTTTATGGGCTCTTATTTTCTTGTTGCTCTAGAACTCAGTTCTATAGATTTTAAATAGATTTTTATTTGATTTGATTCCACTGAAACTAGGATACCAGAATACCATTGTTGCTGGAAGTCTTATTACAAAATCAAACCTGCATGGTGAGCTGCTTTGATAATTCATTTTCTGTCATTATTTAACATTTTAAGAGTATGTCACGAATGTTCACTAACCATAATTGGATAAATCTGCAGTGAGAAATCTCTAATTCAAAGAATTCCTTTCATTTAAGGGTTATATTATAAATGAGCTTGTAGCTTTTAACATTGTACTTTTTACTTTCTTTTTTAAACAAAAAACATCATTTACTATCGGAAAATTGAACAAAAACATCATACGATATTTCTAAAGACAGCTATGAGTGTTGGTGCACACATGGAATATGTGACTTAACTCAGCAGATAGCAGAGAACCTTGAACTCTTATCATTTAAAATTTTGTTAATATACTGTAAGACTCTACATTTAATGCTGATTTTATTTTAGCACAACACTGCAGAATAGCCTTTATGTTTATTATGGGAGAATTAAAGTAAATAGAATACTATGCCTCACTTACAAAAGGAGAATTTTCCAACATCCTCAACTATTCAGAATATCCCTGAGAATCTAGAAATACTACGTAATATAAAACCTAGGGCTTAAAATAGCAGAGATTCAGAGTAGGAATTGAGAATTTAGTTCTTTTACTCTTCTAATAGAATCTGGTGTCATAAACTATTGGCTTAGAAGCAACAGATTATAGGAGAATGGGGCTAATAAAGTAGTCTGCAACGTATAACAACTTCTGACAGGAAAGTGAGAATAAAAATTTATTAAAGGCACTGTGGTCTTACGTCTATTTACCTTTTCCCTGTGTCATCTCATTAGCTTGGATGGTCATTATCCGAAATATTTGTTAATTCGTAATGATAACCCCTTTAGTATGTTTTGTCAGCCATACTAAACAGATTTCCTTTAAAAGGGGATAAGTTTTAAAAATATTTTCATAGAGTTAAGCTTATATTATCATTTACATGGAGCACCTCATTCCCTAATAATGCTGAATAAATGAGATATCTTAGTTACCCGTAAAGGAAAATTTACTTTAACTAGAATTAAAGGTGAAATATTGAGTACAGATCTTTAAAGCTCAATTTATACTTCTGCACTAGCATTGGCTAATAATAATATTGTAGATAGGTAGATTCTGAGTTCGTTCATGTAAGAAATATCAAGCTCATTTCTGATATAACCCTATTACAAATAGTTGGTGTGCATAACTATCTATCTACCTGTCAATGCTAGTATATATGTGCTGGAATTTCATAACATACATTCGACCCCATTTTGAATTTAGTATCTTTAAAAAAAACAAAAAAACAAGTAGTTTTATCCCTGGGGAAAGTAACTATTTTATTCCAGAATTATGCAGATACTTTCAGGGAGTTTTTGCAGTAGCCAACAGCCTTTGAGAAAGTAGCATTGTGGGAAGAAGCTTTCCTAAAACTTGCTGTTATTTAAAGTTTGTTTTTATTCTTTAATTGCTGCCCTGGAATTTACAGAACCTTTACTCTATAAATGTAGTGATTTTTTTTTTTAAGGGTGGTAAATCTTACTGTATAGAACTTTTATCTCCTTTTAAAGTCTGTTTTCATTGATTGTATTTAAAAGCTATGTAGTACGTAACTGTTCTTTTTTTCTCTTTAATAGCAATGATCAAAGCTGAAGAAAGCAGGTAAGCAGTTTTGGACATCAGTACATATTTACAAATTTAGTATCTCCTATAACATCCTTGTTTTAACTGTATAAATAGTATTTAACATGGTAGGCCTGATAGTTTGATGTCTTCAGGGGATTTGGGGTAGGGAAAGAGATGTTTACTCAAGATACACACTTGATGCTTTCCTAGACAGTTATTAGAATTTGGACAGCATCCTTAACAAAAACTGTTACAGAAAAGTCCAAAATTTGATTTGAATTAATTTGGGAACGGATGAAGTATTGTATCAGTATTATCTCCCTTCCTTTACTCAGGTTTTCCTTTTAATGGGTGAAATGAAATTAATGATATAGGTCAAATTTTATGGCATAATACAATCTGATAGGACATTTTGTAAATGAAAACAGTTATTGGACTTTTGGAAATGCAGATTGTTGCATGAGTGCCTATCATACATTATCACGAATGTTTGCTGAATTAAATCAAAGTAATTCAGTTTCATACTGTGGTTTTAATCTTTTTGAATGGCTTAATAGTTTGGCAGCACTGCCGTTTTTCCCTTATAGTGGTTTCTCTTATTCATTTGATTTTATGATAATTTAAAACTAACTTTATTTGGCTTTGTGATTATTCATAATGAACTGACTAGCTTTCTCTTTTTTAAATATATAGTAAACAAGAAGAGTGCACCACATCAACAGCCCCAGTTCCTACAACAGAAATTCCAACCACAATGAGCACCATGGCTGCTGCAGAAGCAGCAGCTGCTGTTGTTGCTGCAGCAGCTGCAGCAGCAGCAGCTGCTGCTGCAGCCAATGCAAGTGCTTCCACCTCTGCTTCTAGTACTGTGGGTGGAACTGTTCCAGTTGTTCCTGAGCCTGAGGTTACTTCGATTGTTGCTACTGTTGTAGATAATGAAAATACAGTAACAATTTCGACTGAAGAACAAGCACAACTTACTAGTACCCCTGCTGTTCAGGATCAAAGTGTTGAAGTGTCTAGTAATACTGGAGAAGAAACATCTAAGCAGGAAACTGTAGCTGAGTAAGTTTAGTAACTTGTTTTCTGCAAATCAGTACAGACTTCATTAATATAAGAAATTGCTGATCTAGTCAGTGGCCATTAAGTGTTTAATAAAAGTTTTTTGAGAATCAAAACATAAGCCTTTAGATAATGGATAATTTTTGAGATTGAGTTTTGTGGGGTCATGCTTTCAAACTGTTGCAAAACTAATCCACACAAGTTTAGGAAGCAGAGCTGGTGATAGGGTAAGAGACAAATTTGAAGGGGTGCCAAAAACTTAGTAATCAAAATGCAGTATTTTAAATCAAAATCAATGCAAAAATCCCCTGATTAATAGAATAAAATTTTAAGTAAAGACAGGATCAGAATTATTGATTTTCTTTCTATTTCATTCTGAAATATGGCTTACTACAGCACTGCAGGGAAGTTGCTGTAGTTCAGTATTGAACAAACAAGCAAAAATCAAGTAGACAAAAATCAAGGTAACACTTAACAGTGTACAGGAAAACTGTTAGTGAGGTTAAATTGGTACAACTTTCTAATAAGGCCAAATAGCTGTATCTCTAAGTTTACAGTTTGTATGTACCCTATGATCTAGTAATATTTCATATGGCTGTGCTATTTATAGCTATAAAAAGTAACCTTGAGCTGTGCTTCTTGATTTTAAAGATATCCACATATATTAAAAAAATATTAAAAAATCATGTCAAGATCCAAACATGATCACCCATCTTAATATTTAAGTATATTGATTTCATCTTCCTACCCCCTTTTATAAACTTTTTTGATTAATTTTAATGTTCATTTTCCAAAGTATGAAAATAGCTTTATAATTTTTTCTGATGTTTAGAAGTTTAAAAAGATATCTATATAGTATATTTGAAGGCGTAAAAGAGTGAGTTAACATTTTAATTATATCCTTCTTCCTTTTTTTGTGCATTTAAAATACGTGCATATTTTAAATTTTAAAAATATATCAGAGATGTCTACATCAGTAGAGATCCATATCCTATCGTGTTGAATATTATTATTTATATAATTAATATTCAACATGATATTATTTATATATACATTAATTTCAGTATTCTCCTACTGATAGACATTTAGCCCTTCTAGAATAATATTGTTTTACATCTTTTCATACCTATTGTATTTTTTCACAATAATTTGTTTTTCACATTTTTAACAAACAACTGTTTTCTGCTTCCTTTTTGGTTTCCTTATTATAGTGCTTGAGTCAGTATAATAAACTTGATTTTAATTACTTTGAATGTAGATCATTTACAGCTCATAACTTTTGGCTGTGCTCTTTACAATATTTTTGATGATTTTAAATAAATACTCCAAAGTAAGGTTACTTGATTCAGAGGGTATGAATTAATTGTATTTTTTATTAATATGTATTCCAGAATATGCATTCAACTTAAAGGTGGGGGATGGGGTTTGTTTTTTGATTTGTCTTTTCCTGCATTCTCTTCTATAAAGGAAGAAATGTTAAGATTATACAACTTTTTCATAAAGATCCCTCAAACAAGTACAGTTGACAATTCTTGGGTAATTCTTTCTGTTTGAGATCAGTGTTAGCAGACTTTTTCATAAACCTTCAAAGAGTAAATACTTTTGGTTTTGTTGGTGATACAGTCTGTCACAATGAATCAATTCTGCTGTGGTAGTACGCAGTCAGCCATAATCAGTATGCAAACTCTTGAGCAGGTCCATGTTCCAGTAAAGCTGTATTTACAGAAATTGGCAGCAGGCTGGATTTGACCCATGGGTTGTAGTTTGCCAATCCCGATTTAGATTGATCTCAACATCTTTTTTATATTTTATGCACACTTGTCCAAATCCTATTATTAAGACACTAAAATGAGGACGCTGAATAAGTTTTATAAGCCATTTTAAAGTATTAACTTGTGGGCTAGTGAAACTAGTGTTGTAGTATAAATGTTTATTTTAGCCTTTGTACAAGGTCTTAATAACCAAATGTTAGAGGAAAAAACTATATAGTACTTTTATTTCTTTATGTTGCATTAAATGTGTCTCATGGAGACTTTATTCTAAATTTGTCAAATAAGTTTAATTTGTTTACCTCAACAGCAAACAAATAATAATAAAATATTATTTTCCTAAATGAAGGATGTGTTTATTTAAATTGTAAATACAATGTATAAATTTCTCTCTAGTTTTACTCCCAAAAAGGAGGAGGAAGAAAGCCAACCAGCAAAAAAAACATATACTTGGAATACAAAGGAGGAAGCAAAGCAAGCATTTAAAGAATTATTGAAGGAAAAGGTATTTATAATAGAGACTTTTATTTTAAGTATCTAATAAATGAAATTATCCTTCAGTGCAGTTTGTACCTTGATGCTTTTATTAAAAATACTAATCTTATAAACGGCTGTGACTGAAAATGAGCTAAAGTTGTCTTTTTTCTCTTTTTAACTTTGAGAAACTGACTTTCAACCAAAAAGAATGTGTAAGGTACTACACAGCACATTCCACCTCAGTATTTAATATAAGGTTTTTTATTCATAAAAATTGTTCTGTCTTCTAATCAGTAGTCTGAGAAAGAAGTATTCATGGTCTGCTTAAATTTCAGTTGTTCTTTTTAGTCTATAGATACATTACACAGATTTGCTTGCTTCAATGAATTATTTTTTAGACCTTTTTTCAAACTCCTGCAAAGGGAAGTGATTGATGTTTGCAGTGAGTATTATACTTTGTTCGCTGTTGTATGACTTACTATACTTGTGTGAAATTTTAACTTTTCATTAAATGATTTTCAGCGGGTACCATCTAATGCTTCATGGGAGCAAGCTATGAAAATGATCATTAATGATCCACGATACAGGTAACAGTTTGATTTTTTAATTTACTTTCCACCTTGAGCAAACCAAGCCTAGAAAATTTAAATTATGTAAAATAATACAACTTTTCACTCCATGGTCTTCTGTTATTTTGGATACCAATAATTGAGTTGCTTTATGTCTTATAAGAACCAAAAAAGTTAAAAGTCTTGTCATATAGCCTGGGCACCCTGCTATAGATGTTAGAATTATTTTTAAAGTAGAAATTATTTTCTGTAATTATTTGCTATCTTTAATAACTTACTGACATTTTCTTAATTTGTGAATGAAATTTATTGTTTTTTCAAAGCACTAACACTTGATCATCTTACCTTCATTTACTCTTATATGATATTTTTCTATTTAGTGCTTTAGCAAAGTTGAGTGAAAAAAAGCAGGCCTTTAATGCTTATAAAGTCCAGACAGAGAAAGAAGAAAAAGAAGAAGCAAGATCCAAATACAAAGAGGCTAAGGAATCCTTTCAGCGTTTTCTTGAAAATCATGAAAAAATGACTTCCACAACTAGATACAAGTAAGATTTTTACTGATCATGGTATATGTTTACTGTACTGTTTCTGTGTCAGACTTTTTACCAAGTGCAGTAACTAATTCAGATGTTCATTAAAGCTAAATGATTGTGAATGTGACAGTTTCATAAGGTAAAAAGATAAATCAGTAGTTAAATGTGGAATTCATAGAGTTACTGAGTTTTTAATTAGGGACTACAATAAAAAAGGGAGAAAGACTTTATTTCATAATGAAAGCTTGACTCCTTTCTCCTTAATATAAGAATTCAAGATGCAGGTGGGGGGAGAGATAGGGGAATATATGTTTATGTATAGCTGACTCACTTTGTTTTACAGCAGAAACTAATACACCATTGTAAAGCAATTATACTCCAAAACAGATGTTTAAAAAAAAAAAAGAATTCAGATTTTTTTGTATTTGTGGAATAGAAATAGGCTATTTTCATTATGTATATAGCATTTTTGAAAATTTACATTTATATAGCACTCTTATTTTTGGAGTGCTTTGTTATTTAAAATTGTGAGTAATTCATTATTAACAGCCTTGCAATAAGCTGTTACGTTCATTTTCCCTATATGTTTTCTTATTTTCCTCACTTTTCCAGAAAAGCCTTAGTGAAGAACTCTTCCATTTCTTTCAATAGTCCTATTTTATCTGTTAACTAAATTTCTTACAGTTATTGAAGTCTGTAATTTAGTTCCATGGGCAGTTTGGTAGCCTTTGTCGCTACCCTGAGAAGTAGAGGTAGTCTTAACTACAAAACATTGCTCAATTGGAATTATCTCCTCTATCTCTAAAGGAGAAATCAAGGCCTAAGCTGTTTTGTTCTTTTTCTTAATTATCCAAAAGTTTTCTTTTTTTTTTGAACCAGTGAAACCACATCTTGTTTATTTGAAACAAAATCAACAAAATTTATACAGAAGTTTTCTCTTATAATACAGTCATGAACTTAAGAGTGGAAAAGAGTGTTCATTTGGTGGTATTAAATTTAGAATAAAATTAAAATGGTTTAAAATTTTTATGGTGTAGTATAGAGTAACATTTAATCTTTTTAACAAACAGAAAAGCAGAGCAAATGTTTGGAGAGATGGAAGTCTGGAATGCAATATCAGAACGTGATCGTCTTGAAATCTATGAAGATGTTTTATTCTTTCTTTCAAAAAAAGAAAAGGTATTATTCACTCTTACTGGTGTTTATTGATAAAACAAGATTTTCTTCATCCTGTTTAGGAGTTACTTTATAACATGTTCATTTTTGTTGGTTTATTTAGTTTATATGGTGCAACAGATCTACTTATTAGAAGTTACATTTAAAAATAGATAGCTCCTATAATAATAAGTACTGATGTGAACATAGTAGGTAGAGATTTGTGCAGCTGATACTTAGGTTGTCATTAATTGGCTGTCTTATGCCCACTTTGAAAAATACTTATTGTTAGCTTGTTAGTTTGAAAAAATGCTCAGTGTTTTTGCTTATAAGGCATTTATTTATGATTATTTTACAAGAACAGCAGTAATGTGTAATTATTACCATTAAAATGTATTTGTAGGATAGTGTTTTAAAACAGTAAAATACTATGCTACAAATACATTTAGTTTTGCTCATGTCTGTTTTGTTATGCACTAAGTTGTATGCTGTCCAGTCTTCCAAGAGACTTACAGAAATGTAAGTATTATTGACAAAAATTTGAACATAGCTGAAAGTGGTTGAACACATTATCATTTACCTGTTGTGTGATTTGTAACTTTCGTTTGGACAGTGTCTACAATGCATAGTTGTGGGAGGAGAGATTTTGCAAGGGGGTGAGGGAGGTGGGATTCCAGCTTTAGACGAGAGGTTAAAAAAAATTTTGAAGGTAAGAGCCAAGCAGTTAGGCAAGAGCACTGGAAAGGTAAAGAGTGTTGATATTTAAAGTAAATGGGTAACATTTGAAATTTGGACATCAGTTAGAATGTGAAGAAACCTTCACTAATTACAGTTTATATGTCATACTTTATTTGAAATTCAAAACATATATTCATATTTTTGATTTAGGAGCAAGCAAAGCAGTTGCAAAAGAGAAATTGGGAAGCCTTCAAAAACATACTTGACAACATGGCTAACGTGACATACTCTACTACTTGGTCTGAAGCCCAGCAGTATCTGATGGATAATCCAACTTTTGCAGAAGATGAAGAATTACAGAGTAAGAATGATGACTAAGTGGAAGGAACAGTTTTTTAAAAGTTGTCCAGCAGCGAAGAATGGTCACTTTTTTTATGCGATCACTAACTGAATTTTACATAATTGTTTGTCCATCCCTGAAAAGCTGTTTTGTTTGTTTCCAAATAGGATATTTCTTTCTAATTGAGTTTTGTGATTCAGGACAAAATATTTTCCCCAAAATCTGAAGTTAGCTTTATCAGGTATTCTTCAAATATGTTTATTAGGTAAAGCCTGAAATTGTCCCTTGCCATTTATATGTGACTTAGTGGGAACCAAATTAATAACCACATGTTACTCGTGCTGTCCTCTCGAGGTAATGACTTTAGAGATTTGCTTGCAAAAGGCAAAAAATGGATTAGCATTATTTTACAGTAAGCTTCCCCAAGTTCTGTCTTTTTCTGATCTACCTAGTTGCTTTTTAAATTACAGCTTTCTTGATTATCCTTCTGAATACCATACTTCAGTAAGTTTGAGGGAGGGCCTAGAATTCTGTACTTTGAAAAACTCCTTGGGTAATTCTGATATTGCTGACAAATTTATCACAGCAGTTTTATTTTCGTTTTATTACTTGTATGTGTTGTCTCTGTTTCATCCTCGGATTCGGGGGCTATGATTTAATGAGGTCTTTTTGAAATTTTTCATATGGGAATTCCCTGGCGGTCCAGTGGTTAGGACTCCGCACTTCCACTGCAGGGGGCGCAACAGGTTTGATCCCTGGATCGGGGAACTGAGATCCCACAAGCCGCACACCGTGGCCCAAAAAAAAAAAAAAAAAAAAGTTATAAATAAATTTTCCTTGAACACTTCCTATTTAGATAATTAGAAGTCATATTTGAGTTTAAATGTAAATATTTTGGTAAAACGAATTTGAACTTTGTAGGGAGTTAATGCGAGTAAGTAAACTGCTTTCTTTACTGATATTTGACGTTTTAATTTTTTTTAACCGAAAAAATTCTAGACATGGATAAAGAAGATGCGTTAATTTGCTTTGAAGAACACATTCGGGCTTTAGAAAAGGAAGAAGAAGAAGAAAAACAGAAGAGTTTGCTTCGGGAAAGGAGACGACAGCGTAAAAACAGAGAATCTTTTCAGGTAATTTTAAAAGCTCTGTTTTCTAGCTTAATTGTATAATATGGTTAATGACCTGTAATAGTGATGTAAACAATTTTGAGAATCTTGATCTCAGATCATTAACTTGGGCTTTTGCAGAGGATCCATACAAATTTAACTCTTAAGTTCTATATTTAGTTATGAATCCACTTAAGGAGAGTAGCTATTTCAGGCTAGGGGAACATGGAAGGCTATAGCAGATTTGGTATTTAAAGGGAGCACTGATAGATAAGGTTTCACTTGGGAAAGAGGAATAGATATCATGAGGGGGGACTGAAAATAAAATATGTGTGATGAGTTATTAGTACTAATTGATTTTTCGGTTCTAGAGAATGGTTTTGAGGATGGGCCATAATTTTTAAACACTATACAGAGGAGCTAAAATTACATGTTCTTTATATAGGCTAGTGGCTTATTTTGACCTCCAAGTATCACTTTTAGTCTCTCAGTAATGGAGCCTATCACAGAGCAATGAATTTTTGCATTTTATATTTCACCAAATTTCCATTTCAATAATAATTATAATAGCAGTTAGCGTTATTGCTTATTGCTGTGCATTTAAAATTTATTATCTCTTTTTATGATAGCCTTATTTTATGATAGTAGGCACTATTTTTGTTATGTCCATTTATATAGGTAAGGAAATGGGCTTAGAGAGATGAAGTGACTTGCCCAAATTCAGCTACTGAGTAGTGGAGCCAGACTTGGAATCTATGCTGTGTTTTAATTACTGGGTCTCTTTCATTAAACACTGTATTAGGGTAAGTGCTAAGTTACAGTGACTTAAATAAGAGGTTTTATTTCTTGAAAGAACAGTTGTTTTGGTTTAGGGTAGAGCACATTGTCATCTCCTAAGGCAGTGGTTCTCAAAACTTAGCATGCATCAGAATCACTTAGAGGGCTTTTAGAAAACTCCCCATGGTGCCAAAGATCATTAATCATCTTAAATGCCATAGCCAATAGCATTATTGCAGTCTTCATTCCATAAAAACGTAACATTTACTACTCTCTGTGGTTTCCTCTTAGTGGTTTCCCAAAGGATCATTCGGAGTATTGTTAAAACCAGGGACTGTTGAGCCTCACCCCCAGAATTTGATTCAGTAGGTCTCTTTTAAGTTTTGAATATACTTTTAAAGGAGGTATAGTAGCAGAGGAAAATTACTGAGCTGAATATCTGAAGCAAAACATGCTAATACCAGTTATATCAATAGTAATCAGAAACAATGCCAGACACATAAAAGCCATATTTTAGGCTTAGCAAAAGATGCTTGTGGCCTTTATATTAGGATTTCTGACCCACGTTCTCCAGTTTCAGTATTGACATTGTACTTTCTCTTATATTTTCTGTGGCCCAGATTTCCTTCTTTTTGTTATATTTTACCTTATAGTTCTCCTTATTTTAAACCATTACAAAAGCTTCATAAGAGATATTAAAGCTAAGTGGTTGCAGAAGAGTATTAATCAACCTCGTGAAAATCTGTTCTCCCCTTCCTAGGCACATGGCTCCTTAGTTAAAATCTAAGTTTTCTAGCCTTGTTTATAGCTACTTGTGGTAACGTGACTAAATTTTCAGCAACTGAATGTGAAGGAGACGAGTAGAACTCCAGCATCGTTTTTTAATTAATTAATTTTTTAAAATTTTTGGCTGCATTGGGTCTTTGTTGCTGTGCGCAGGCTTTCTCTAGTTGCGCCAAGTGGGGGCTACTCTTTGTTGCGGTGCACGGGCTTCTTATTGCGATGGCTTCTCTTGTTGCGGAGCACGGGCTCTAGGCACGCGGGCTTCAGTAGTTGTGGCACATGGGCTCAGTAGTTGTGGTGCACGGGCTTAGTTGCTCCGCGGCATGCGGGGTCTTCCCGGACCAGGGCTTGAACCCGTGTACCCTGCATTGGCAGGCGGATTCTTAACCACTGGACCACCGGGGATGTCCCACATCATTGGTTTTTAAAAGAAGTACCACTTCAACTTCTTCCAAGCTGAAATGTGGTCATGGAGATAACATACCCTAATCATGCAGAGAAAGCTAATGGCCTCGGGCAGTTCTCTAAGTATGGGCCAGCATATCACTGTCTCTTGGAAACTTATTAGAAAGGCAAACTCTTAGAACCCCACTGAGACCTAATGAATCAAATTGGGATGGGGAGGGGGACTACAATCTGTGGTTTTGTTTTTACCATTTCTTCACATGATTCATTGAGATACCACCTAAGGTAATTTACCAAAAGTGGCAAATGTTGAGATTCTTTATGAAATAAGACTGAAAGAACTATAGTTAGATGTAACATTTAAGGTCAGTGACTGTCGACATCTAGGGGAAGTTAAAGAGTTGCCAAATAGTTTAAAGGTAAATAGAGGCAAAATCAGACCTTTCTCTGATGTTTTGATAAGACAGTTCAAGAGTACTTTCAGGGTTAAGAGTGTGGCTTTTCTTTGATAAGAGAGAACCAGTCAAGAGGGAGAGAATGGGGCTTCCCTGGTGGCGCAGTGGTTGAGAGTCAGCCTGCAGATGCAGGGGGCACGGGATCGTGCCCCAGTCCGGGAAGATCCCACATGCCGTGGAGCGGCTGGGCCTGTGAGCCATGGCCGCTGAGCCTGCGCATCCGGAGCCTGTGCTCCACAACGGGAGAGGCCACAACAGTGAGAGGCCCACGTACCGCAAAAAAAAAAAAAAAAAAAAGGAGAGGATGAAGAAAGAATTGGAGGATAGGGGTATTCTGTTATTAAATAAAATCTTTGAAAGTTTATTCAAGCATATGTGAGTAGTTACATTATGAACCTTATATGAGGAGACAAAAAGAAGGAAGGAGATGAGGGAAAAGACATATTATTGAGTTGGCCTGAGGCAGTGAGTGGTGTTCAACTAGTGCTTTTGTTGATGGTCATGATTTGGGGAGAAGTTGCTACTAGCATCTAGTTGGGTAGAGACCAGAGGTATTGCTGAACATCATCCAATGTACAGGACCACCCCCCCCCGCAAAACAAAACAAAAAAGTTTACGAGCTCCAAGATGTCATTAGTGCCAACGTTGGGAGCCTTCTCCTCTAAGGGAAGGAGAAATAACCAGCCTCAGCCATCTTTGAAGCAACTTGGTTTCCATCTTCTCCTCCCCTTCCCAAGGTGGGGTTAGTAAAGAGAGAAAGAGCCATACAGTTTTAGCATAATGGTTTTCAAACCTGAATTCACATAAAACTTACCTGGTGAGTTTTAAGAAATAAATTACAAATATCTTTATTTTAATTCATATTTTCTTAAAAAAAATCTCAGGTGATTTCTAATTTTCATTGAAGTTAGGAGATTCACTACTGAAATGGATTCAGTGTCGAAATTCTATGACTTTATCAGCAACCTAGAAGTGAAACAAATACTAGCAAAGCAGGTATGATGAAGTAGATTTTAAGATCCTAGAGAGCATCATTGAAGATGGTTTCTAGGCTGTTTTAGGGACTCAAAAGGGAGTAGGTGAAGAACCTTGGTTATCACACAGCGGGGGTGGGTTGAGCTCCCATTTATGTTGAAGGGTAAGGACGAAAGGATAGAAATTAAGTTTGAGGAAAAAATTTTGGAAATAGAGACTGAATTGACATGCTTATTTCTATTTGGAGAGAAGTGGTATACATGTCTGGTGTCATTCAGGACAGTGCTTCCCAATAAAAATTTGTATGCCACATACATGATTTTAATTTCTTACTAATTTAATTTTAGTAACCTTTTATTTCACCCAATATGTCTAAAATATTGTCTTTTAACATGCAACCAATATATTTTTACTTATTTTGGTAATAAACCTTCAAAATCATTGTGTGTTATATACTGCTGGTGTTGAACAGTGCAGGTATAAGAATTTTAGGAGCAGAATTTGGCCCCTAATTTAGGGACATTTATAGAATTAAAACTCCCTAAGGATTTCAGGATATAGGAAATGTGGAAATTGCTGAGTACTAAAGTCCCACTATGTTGCCCTGAAAGTTGGCAAATAGTAAAAAAAAAAAAAAAAAAAAAAAAGGATAAAGTGAGCATATAAAATTTTAAGTTATAACAGTAATATGGAAGAAAGGAAACAGGTTTTAAAATCAGACATGGGGGTTGAGTCCTAGTTCCCCACACTATATGTATGTTGCTTTAGTAAAATTGTATATCTTCCTCTTAGAAAAGAAAATTAAATTAAAAAATCCTCAGAACACATTAGGCGTTATGTTTAAAAACAAAAAGTATATTTTGCAGTAAACGTGCATGCACATTCTTTAGCCTCATCATTTGAGATAACATCCAGTGTTTTGACTTTATTTGTATATGTTATTTGCAAACTGGAAATGATGATCTATCTTAAGGGACAGTAAACTGAAGCCTGGAAAGGTAATGTAGCTTTTCAACAGTCCTTTTCTCTGAAGTCCAAAATAGTTTTTTGCCTAAAAGTTGATTTTACTTTCATCAAAGAGCAAATATGCTTTGCACCTAAACATATTTGTGATAACGTTGTCAGAAGAGTTTTAAATATAGCTGTTTTTAACATGTATCTTCATTCATGTTATACCAATATTTCTAAAGTCCTTAAAGACGGCTTTTCAATATATAATGGATTCGTTGTTGTTCTCCCCTTCCCCCAGATATTTTTAGATGAACTGCATGAACATGGACAACTGCATTCTATGTCATCTTGGATGGAATTGTATCCAACAATTAGTTCTGACATTAGATTCACTAATATGCTTGGTCAGCCGGGTGAGATTCTTCTCTTTCCTAATTTGTAGTTATGATAGTTGGAATGGGCCAGAGGGAAAGATGGTTGTGTTGGGGCATGGGGGGTGCTTTCTTTTGTTTTATAAACAAAAAAGTAATTGCAGCTCTTTGATTAGAGCTAGCTTTTGACTTCTTTAGTTTTTTCATTAGGATCAACTGCACTTGACCTTTTCAAGTTTTATGTTGAGGATCTTAAAGCACGTTATCATGATGAGAAGAAGATAATAAAAGACATTCTAAAGGTAAATAGTATATACTTCGTATTATTAACTAGTATACTTACTGTTAATCCGTGCCATATATTTTAAAGTGATACTGTGTTCCTTTGATTACTGTTATTAATATTAACAAGATTTCTGTTTTTTAGGATAAAGGATTTGTAGTCGAAGTAAATACTACTTTTGAAGACTTTGTGGCAATAATCAGTTCGACTAAAAGATCAACCACATTAGATGCAGGAAATATTAAGTTGGCTTTCAATAGTGTAAGTTATCATCTTTACTGTTATGAACAACTAGATTAGTAGTATAGTTTTTAATATATTTGGCCAAAAATACTTAAGTTGTATGTAAGCTACTGAAATAAGGGAATAGGAATAGTATTTTACAGAGTAGTGGACACTCTTCCAGGGTAAGGTAACAGAATATAATGTACTTAGATGATGGCTGATGGTAAGCTTCCTTTCCTAAAAATAATTGGCTCTCTAACTTATAGATGATAGGAGAATACTTAAATTAATTATAATGAATTATTTCAGTTAACACAGATTATATTATACTATTATAACTGACTAAGTATGTTTTCTAAAAGTTACTAGAAAAGGCAGAAGCCCGTGAACGCGAAAGAGAAAAAGAGGAGGCTCGGAAGATGAAACGAAAAGAATCTGCATTTAAGAGTATGTTGAAACAAGCTACTCCTCCAATAGAATTGGATGCTGTCTGGGAAGATGTATGTATACTTGTAAATTTTTTCCTTTACAACTGAAGATAAAAATTTTTTAATTCTTTCTCATAGCCACAGAGATAACTAGAGGAAAGGAAATAAACACTTTGAGGGGGCTGGGTGTCACAGTTTTCACTTGCTGCTATGATTCCTTTTAGTCATATTGGTATACTCTTCTCAGTATTCATATATTTATTCCATATCTGAATTTTTCAGATCCGGGAGAGATTTGTAAAAGAGCCAGCATTTGAGGATATAACTCTAGAGTCTGAAAGAAAACGAATATTTAAAGATTTTATGCATGTGCTTGAGGTAATTTTAGTTTTATCGTAAGTGGCTGAAATATTACAAAATACATAAAATTTTTTTAAAAATTGAAGAATTTAGAATGATCAAAGTACGTTTTTTAAATTATACTTTTAAGTAATTTTATACAAATGTACTTACTACCTGGGATGATTAGGGAATGGTTTATTCTATAGAAATTGCTTTTAATTGAAACAAACTAAGCTTGCATGGGAATTTAAAGATCTGTTTAGTGGACACTTTTCATATTTGTTTCATACTTATACAGTGTTACAGAAATTCATCAATTTAGCAGTCAAATGGGGTGACTTAGTAAACCTAAAAAGAAATCAGAATCTTGTAAAACAGATAGAAAACAGCTTTTAAGCACATTTCAAATATTATACTACATTAGATGTGTTGGAAGCTCAGAGATGTTCTGAAAAATAATGGAATAAGGTAGTAAGTTTTTGTTAAAATAATGATAAAATTGCAAGTTATTCCACTAGCTGAATTAAGGGTATTTTGATGAAGATTTCAGATGGGCACTTGGAGATAGTAAATATGCTAAATTGACCAATAATTTTTGAATAGTAGTATTTGCTGCCTATATGGGCCAGGCACTGTTCTAATTGTTTTACAGATATTTCATATATGAGCTTAATCCTCATAACAACCCTATGAAGTTACAGATGAGCAAAACTGAGGCAAAGAGAAAAAGTAATTTGCATGGAAGGGATTCCAACATAGGCTTTTGATTCCAGGGCCAGTGCTTTTAACAAATATGCTGTGCTATCAGTTATAGACAAAGCAATACGTTACAGCAAGCCGACGTTAGCACATACTTAATATTATAGTGCTGCCGATGGTCATTGGGCATAGCAGGTCACTTAATTGACTGTTGACTGTTGCATTGGATTTATTGTTCTTGATGAATATCATTGTTGACAACAGTTTGCTCTGTTAACATGTCGCACATGTACCATATATTGTTTCCCAGCTGCCTCTAGATCTAGTGCTGTTGACCTATAGATCTTTTCTACTCAAAGTGTGTTTCAGACCAGCAGCATCTGTATTACCTGGAAACTTGTTAGAAATACAGAACCTCAGGCCCCATCGGCAGAAATCCTGTATCAGAATTACCATTTTAACAAGATTCTCGAGCACTAGAATGTACATTTAATTTTGATAAGCTCTGCTCTAGGTAGTGTCTTAACATTTTCCCCCAATTCAGGAATCTCCAACAAGATTCTTTCATGATCTGTGCTGGGGGGTATTAGTGGTGAGCTCATAAATGGAGCAAAATGATGGCAGCATAGGGAAAAGCTGAACATATCAGAATAGGATTTGGACCCCAATAATGTGGGCCTTGAAGTAGAAAAGGAAGAAGAGTTAACATTCAGTGACGTAAAGAAAGAATGAGGACTGCCCTCGTGGTCCAATGGTTAAGGCTCTGCGCTTCCACTGCAGGGGCCGCCAGTTTGATCCTTGGTCAGGGAACAATTAGTCAATCGAGAGAGAGAGAGACAGACAGACAGACAGACAGAGACAGAGAGAGACAGAGTCCCTGAACCAGAGTTTCTGTTTCCACTTACTTGTAAACTGAAGCAGAATTTATTTTCAAAGGCTTAGATTATGTTTGGGGGCAAGGAGTTTTTACTGCAGCGTTTTTCCTTCCCTACTAGCCTCATAATTATTTTAGTGACAGAGTTAAAATCCACAGAGACAACATTTCCTTTTCTGATTTCATGTGTAGTTAGATTGCCTTTGGATATCTTAAGCTTGGCTAGGAAGGGAATGCTCCTTGGGTGAAAAGAGCTGGTTTTGCATTTAATTTCTGAGACCAACCTCCTTTATGGATGATTCTGAGGTAGTTCTTTATTTCAGTGCTGAGCCACGTTCATCAGAAAAGCCATGTATGAATAATATTTTGTTGTTTTTGAAAGTAGTGTAACTATTCTGCAGATTATACCTTTATGGAGGGTATCAATTGTCCCTACTGTACCCACACCATTCTCATTGCTAAAAAAAAGTATTTTATTAATACTTTTGAACGTTGTATTTAGATGTCCAAATGAGTGGGTACAGGATAGTTAAAATGTTCTCTTCTGTTCCTTGTTAAGTGATAGTAACTCTTTGCACCATTTCAAGGGGGGAGTACATCCTAAATACGCAAAATGAATGCGGTTTTACTCTAAGAACCTATTTGTAAAGCTTTTAAGAATTCTCCATGATGTACTGTCTGAAGTGTGAACTTCTGAAATTTTTTTCTTTTGCCCCTGTAGCATGAATGTCAACATCATCATTCAAAGAATAAGAAACACTCTAAGAAATCTAAAAAACATCACAGGAAACGCTCCCGCTCTCGATCAGTAAGGAAGTTTATTAAAAATGGCACCATAAGTGTATTGAAATATTTGTTAGCAGCATTATGAATGAAATTATTTGTATTGTGTAGGGATCAGATTCAGATGATGATGACAGCCATTCAAAGAAAAAAAGACAGCGATCAGAGTCTCGTTCTGCTTCAGAACATTCTTCTAGTGCTGAATCTGGTAAACATATCTTTTAACTTGATTAAAATCATTGACACTTGGATGTCCTCAAATTCTGACACTTTTCTTTTTGTGCTGCTTAGAGAGAAGTTATAAGAAATCAAAAAAACATAAGAAGAAAAGCAAGAAGAGAAGACATAAATCTGTAAGCAAACTCTTTAGTTTTTACACTGTACCTAGGCTTTTGCCCTTCACTTTCTCAGTGGCAGTAGAAATTTCTGTCTAGTCCGATGCAGTCAACAGTTTAGGTATGTACCTAAACTCAAGAGTTTCATAGTTGTTGTTCACCTTAATCTTTCATTAAAATCTTTTGGTGAACTTTGAAAAAAAATAACACAGTGTTAAGACTCCCACTCTGGTTTTTTATAGTAATCTTACAGAAAGACCCAAGGGGGTGTGATTTTACATATATATATTTATATTTATATATATATATATATATATATATATATATATATATATATATATATATAGAGCTGTTGTTGAGAACCACAAGTTTAAATGTTTAAACTTTTTCCTTTACCTTCAGCTCTTAATCTTAGGTACACATCAAGATACACCTAATCTTAGTGATGAAGGCACACTTAATTTAGTGACGCTCTTTTAGTGGTATTTTACCCTGTCAGAATGTCATCTTTCCCATAGGAAAGACCAACTTCATCTCATCAATCTTGGGAATGTTTTAAATTCCTTGAGGTTATCGATTCAGATTCCACCACTCTGGGAACACATACATACTCTGTTATATGTGGGTGTTCTTAAATATTACCTATATAGGGACTTTTTTCTAATGGAATGGTTTCTTTATCAAAATGCTGACATTGTTTTTTTATTTACACAGGACTCTCCAGAGTCAGATGCTGAACGGGAGAAGGATAAAAAAGAAAAAGATCGGGAAAGCGAAAAAGACAGAACTAGACAAAGATCAGAGTCAAAACACAAATCACCTAAGAAAAAGACTGGAAAGGATTCTGTAAGTATTTAGAATTCTTTCATCTCTGCATTTTCAGAGTACAAAAATGTCAGCTACTTTTCACACACAGTTTTCTAACGTATGTGATCATGAATGACCCAAGTTAAGCATCCTAAATTTTATATTCCTTAAAAAAATAACATGGCATTCTCTAACAGTTGTTTAACCCACTAAGAAAGGATATATTCTTCTGCTTTGTACATTCTCACAAAGAAATACCAATGGACATTGTCTACCTAATTTAAGAATATAAACTTTAAGAGATTCAAATCAGGTTTTCCCTCCACCATATCCACAGTTGTCATTGTTACTAAATCCAGTTTCAAAAGGTAGCTTTCCAGCAGCTTTTAATCATTGGGAGGGAAGAGTTGAGGGCAAGTAGATAGGAGGATACAATAAGCCAGATCTAATGTTTTATTATCAAATTACATAATTAGTCTTCAGTTTCCCCCTGTATGTGTGTTTGTGTATGTATGCCAGAGCACAGTAACACAAGCCTTCTTCACCTTGCCGTTCGTTCCACAAATGCTGTGGGCTTTAGCAAGTATAATGCCTCTGAGTTACCAGTTGAGAGTTTAAATTGTGTAGGTAAGCCCTGGTCTCCCTCTGGATATTCTCATTCAGTGGGAATAGGGTGGAGGGTTTTTTTTGTTCTTGTTTTGTTTTTAAAGCTGCACTGGTGAGTCTGATGCACATCCTTGGTGAGGAATGATGATTTCCTCTATACTTACTTAGCAACTTAATAGTTTCTTCTTCACAGTAGGTTAAATGAAATCCCTGAAGGGGGAAGGAAGATAGGTGAAAAATCTACTTTTGAAAAGTTGCTTCTCACAGTTGTTTTGGTTTTTTTGTCTGTTTTAAATTTTTTCCAGCCAAACTATTGTCCTCATAGATCTGGAATGTTTCTTTATCTGGGCGCAATAGTATGCTTAAAGCTTGATACTTTTATGTAATATAAAACACTTATAGGACAACCTAGAATCGGAAAAAATAGCAAGGAATATAATACTTAGGAAATGAACACCCAGCTTCCATTAAATGGAAACAAGATGTTTCATATTCAGTTGTATAAGAGGAAGAAAAACTGGTACTTACTATTCCCCCGATCTACATATTAATGTAAACTGAAAGTAAACACCATATAAAAGTCTCATTCTAAGTTAAGTGTCTCCCCTAATGTAACCAAGGAGTACTTAGTTAACAACCCATTGGTAGGCTTTTAGGAAAGAGATCAGTCTTCATACCCTACGATGCATTTGTTTTTGTGGAAGAGAATCCACGTAGATGTGGATTCTTTTTTCAAAGGTTCATTACTACTTAACCTTTTGAGTCCTGACACAAATATAATTGTATTCGTTGTCTTTTCAGGGTAATTGGGATACTTCTGGCAGTGAACTGAGTGAAGGGGAATTGGAAAAGCGTAGAAGGACCCTTTTGGAGCAACTGGATGATGATCAATAAATTATACCAAATATGTTTACAGTATGATTTAAAGTCTAATTCAGACCAGGGATTCTATTTTAAGTTCAATTGAAATAACACTGGGTTTTAATTATATCACAGAAAAAAAAGTGCATTTAAGTATTGTTATTGTGGACTTTATAAAAAGCAAAGGAAATTGAAAATAACTTTTGATTCTGTATCAAGAATCATATTTTCATACAGTCATAACTGTCTTTCTGTGACCCTTTCATAGGGCACTGCAGAATGGATTAAAGGTGGCAATTTACTGATAACTGCAGGTGTCTCTACTTTGTTCTAAAGTCAAAGTCATGAGGTGATTTGATTTACTTTATAGAAGTTGGATTTTGAAGATATAATGAAAATTTTTTAATATCTAGTAGTACAAAAAAAGCACCAGCAACTGATAAAACTGCTTTTTTGTGCACTATCCAACTGGTTGAAGCCAATATGATCTTTTAAGGTGAACTCAGACATAGGTGTTCTTAATGGAAACCTGGTAGACCCTTAACTATAGTGGTGCTATTGAGCACTACTATAATAAAGCCACCATTATTTTTTATGAAACATCTAAATACATTTTAAAAAGGCTATTGTGAGGGCATTATTTTGAGGTGATGTTTAAAAAGTTAACATCAAATCAGATTGTAAATTAGCTTAAATATATTGCCTTAAGGACCTACTAAAGAATGTGCCACCAAACTTTAAGTGATGGTTGCAATATCCTTGTCTAAAACAAATCAATGTTGACTTAAACGATTTCTTTAACAGTTGTCTTTTTTTTTTTTTTTTTTTTTAAATCCGATCTTTCTCTTGCTTTTTTTCATTGAGGAAGTCTTTTACCTTCCCTCCTCACTGAGAAGTACTGACTTCGTGGTACACATTCTAAAGCATTTCTGATTTGAATATTTTTGTACATTTTTATCAATTATTAAATCTTCTCTTCTAGTGTGTACTAGTATTTATTTCTACTTAAACTGCTCAGCTGTAAAAAATTGTATGATCCTTTAAGGGTTAAGATACTAAAATCTCTGAAATTTTGCTTTAGCTAACCCACATAGCTAAGTTACTTTCCTTTTTTAATATTTAAGAATATTATAAATCAGTGCATTTGAGACCCCTGTATTTGTTTTTGATCTATGAATTTCCTACAGAATACTCGAAGAAAGGCAATGGTTTGAAGTTTAGAATACTCTTTACATGCTAACTTTTGAAGGTTGGTAATGTAATTTATACTATTTTCCTTCAGTGCAGGAGATTTTTTTAAGTAAATAAGTAAATTATAGCACATAGTCTTTGGTATTATCTTAGGTATTTTTTTATTTTGGACACTTTGGGCAATCCTGTTTCAGGTTGGGATTCAGAAGAACAAAAAGTTTATTTTATTTTTCCTTCACCATCCTGATTTGAAAGTGGGACTGACCAGGATGACTCTTTTTCCATCCCTGCCCGCTTTGTTTCAATTAATCTAGCATCCACTATTGAAAGGCTCAAGGCAGGTTGGTGGGGGGGGGGGGGGGGGGGGGGGGGGTCCTGAACTTTTCTCGCTGCCAAGTCATTTTTCTGCTGTGAAATATGACATGACTTTGTAGAAAGTGAGAATGACTATCTTTAGAAAATGTGAAGTAGCCAATTGCTTGCTTGAGGTTAGTCTCCTATTGTATATTAGAACCAAAACATATTAACAACAGCTTTGGCAACAGGGAAGTTGCCTAGACTTAATTTTCAGAGGTCCCTTCGTAATGATAGTTAATATTGCTAATCATGTCAGACACTTGACATGGAAGTCAAAGTAAAATCTGCATATGATATTGGCAGAAATACTAGTGATGTTTCACAAGAGAATGTAGAATCTAAAACTTCTAATTACTTCCATGAATGATGATTTTTTTAAGTACAACTTTAAAGTTTTGATTTTTCTATTTAAATAAAAAGCTATTGATGTGGTTTAACATGTCCTCAAATTAGATTTCTTATTTCTTATAGAGATACTGTCTTATCACAACCTCAGATCCCTACAAGACAGTACAAATTCAAGTTTCCTTATAGTTAATCCATGAAAACTATTTGACCTAAAAGCGAAACTGATAAACAAATTCTAACACAAAATACAACATCCTTGTTATAAAACATGTAATTGAAGTGACTATAATTCCTTAGTGATCCCATCAAATGATACTTAGTTGCCAGAAAGATACTATGGCCTGAAGGTACAGGCAATGGGAAGATTTTTTTAAAACAGAGTTGTGTGTGAATATTTTTAATCCATTTGATTAGGTTTCTAAATCTTCAGTCTGGTAAAAGTTGAAATGTCTTGGAATATTGGTTAGAGTTGAACAGATATGTTAAAAATGTGTTCAAATAGGAAAGTATTGTTTATATTCAGATAAGGGGAATTTCTGCTTTTCAGTTAAGCCTCAGACTTTCAGGTAAATGTTAAGGGCTTATCTTCCCTCACTATCAATCATTAATGTTAATGAACTCTTAGATTAAATTCACTAATACATTTAATAATATCATGCTTAATAGTCAAAATCCAGAACCTCAAATATTTGATGTTTTTATTCCTCCCAGTACATAATTCCTGTGTGGGGAAATTGAATTTGTATGAAAAGTTAATGAAGTATAAAGAACTCTTTGCACCTTTCCCAACTGTATTTAAACAACGTAATACTTCTAAATAAAAGCAATGGTCCCAACATTTTTTTTTAACACAGTGACGGCATTTCATTATCATTACCCAAAGGAGCTTCAGCATATAGATTATTCATGGTTTTCAACAATAAAAATACTTTTTATGCCTTGGGAGTAATACTTTTTATGCCCAGTAAATTTGAAAATGATCAAAGTATCACAGCTATTTCATCTTTTAATTTTTGCTAATTGGGCCCCATATTATCCAGCTATAAAATGAAAGGGATTGGCCTAGAATTCACAGCATTAAGACTGTAAAACTTCTTGAAATATCTGTGTACATTTTTCTGGAAGGATGGTCCATAGTTTTCATTCGGTTACCAAAGGGCCTGCATCTTGTGTTAAGAAGCATTTGCCTAGATGATCCTGGTTTTCTTCGCATGTTAATGGTCAACTGAGTGCTGACTAGGCAGCCACTTTTATTTTTGCATCCAGAAAGGGGTAGCTTCTTTATTTAAGGATTTTCATTTAAAACTTGGATACTAAAAAAAAACCAAAAAAACTTGGATACTATTTAAGAGAGAGCTGTTTCTAATCAGAGTACCCAGGGAAGAGTAATGAATGCTTTTTTTAAGAGTTTATAGGGTATTTAAGTATATTATGTAATTTAAATGTAAAGCCAAAGAACTAAATAAGCATTTCTGAAAGCAAAATGAGGCAAAGCACGTTAATTCCTTATACCTGAAGTCAGACTTTTTTCTATTCCCTTGGGGATTTCTCTCAATACTAGGTAGAATTTTCTTTTACATTTTCTAGGACTCATTTTACATAAAGGAAAAACAAAATAACGTCATGAGTAATTTTCATGGAACTGTGTTCTAAATCTCATGCTATGGTTCTAGTAATGGCATATAGCAGTCTAATAATTCTTACCTTGCTTGTTAATTTCTTACCTTGCTCTTAAGTTTTTCAATTGTTTTGATGTAAATGATGGTCAGATTCCTTGGGGGCAGGGATTTCTGTTTCACTCACCGTTTTATCCTGTGAGTTAGAACAGTGCCTGGTACATACATAGTAGGCATTTACTGAGTGAATGTAAAATCTTAGTTGACAGACGTACTCATCCAGCATCCATGGTACTCGTCATCTGTTAAAGGGCTTGAAAAAGCATCGTTGCAATAAACCATACTAAGCCCCAAACTAATTGAAGTACACTAAAGATAAGTTCTAGTGACTGTACCTCAATCTTAACTGTTACTTCAGAAATGTCCAAAAGCTTGTTACGTGAAAACATGAAACTTTCACGTGGTTTTTGAGTAGGAAAGGCAATCCCTTGTGATGATTTGAAACATACCTTCTTTCATATCATATTCATACTATTACCACAGTAGTAGTTTAAAAGTAGTAACTTTTGAGGAGCTAACATTTAGCTAGACAAGAGTTGATCTAAAGGCCCTAATGGACAAAAAAAATTCCTATTTTAACTTCTGAGAAGGGGTGAATAATGGTGACAGGGCATGCACTTCAGTGTTCTTGGAGCTAACAGGTGAGGTGAGAAGTGAGCAGATTTTGCTCCAGTTACCTACACACTCCCCCCTAACCCTCCAAACATTACTTGGTTTCTCTCTACCTGGCTTAAGTTCCTTAACTGCAGATTTCCTGTGCTTTTTGAACTTGCTATATAAAAACTGCTCTTATGATTCAATATGATCTCGTTCAAGGCCACCTCATTGTTAGTGACTGGTAATTGACTATTAATTTGATGGTAATTTGTCCTAGGTTTAAGGTTGATGTTTGCATTTCACGGGAACTGGCTAACCTCGCTCCAGTTTTCATTCAGACTATGAAAGTGGCTGCCTAATCTCACATCAGATTCAAACTAAGCCATTTCTTGATGCCCTTCTTTTATGCTGTTCCTTGGGGGTATCTAAATGTGGTATTTAGAAATATCTTTTTTTTTTTTGGTCCTGCCTGCAAACTTTTTTGGTAGGTGTTGATCTCTTGCCTACCTCTGCAACTAAACTGAAGACTTGTTCTGAAAGGTGAGTAATAGGGGGAACAAGGTTTCTACTTTGTGTTTATAATTACCAGATTTTCTCTTATGTTCATATATTGTTCTGATGTAAAGAACATCAATTACATAAAAGTAGACCTTTTGTAAATAAATATAATTTATTAGAAAAAAATGGCATCTCTTACTAAGTTGGATTTGTGTCAGCTTTTTCCTTTAAGCACTGTCATAGGCAGCAGTTCTGTGCTGTAAGATGATAGATGCCCACATTCTGTTTTCTCAGTGTAATATTTGCTTTTCTCTATAAAAAGATCAAAGAAAAGTTTGTCAACTTTCGTTCACACATTTGTTTCTTCAAGTTTTTTCTTAGAAATAGATGGGGTATTAATTTTAGAAAAAATGGAAGATTAATCCTTTGGTATGAAGTGGGCTGATAGTATATTCACCTGTGCACACATTTCTGATAAAAACAACTATATTAGGGCTAAGAATTTCATTATCAAATTTAAAATTAATAGATGTGAATTATAAAGCTAATATTATGAAAGTATTACAGTGTAAAATTATGTAATTCTACAAAATCCAATACGTTGAACCAACGAAGTCAGTGATACCAAGTTCCGTCATCTACTGAGCATTGTTGAGTCATCAGGGTCACCGGACATTCATTGCAGTGTCATTGCAGTGACTTTTAGTGGGTTAAGATTTATAGTTTTAGTCACAAAGACTGGGAGAGGGAAACAAATGGGCTTAACTCTGAGTCATTAGGAAATATCTTTTAAAATGGGTGCCGGGCATTCCCTTACTCTCCAGTGGTTAGGACTCCATGCTTTTCACTGCAGGGGGCCTGGGTTCATAAAACAATCCCTGGGCAGGGAACTAAGATCCCACGAGCCACACGACGCAAACAAAAACGGGGGGTGCAACTGATAAAAGATGTCCAAACCCAACTGTATCCACTTCGTTTGACCTTTCTGTAGTTTGGGTTTGAAACATTCTGAATTTGTAGCATATTAAAGATCTTACTTCCTTTACCATGAGGCACTTCTGGTACAAAAAACAATTTTTGCAGTCTTACTAACTGCAAAATTTAACTTTTTTCCCTTCTTATAAAATAAAGCTTCAACTATAAGTCTACCTTGGGGATATCACAATAAAGCGAATCACTCAAAATGTTTGGTTTTCTTGTGCATAAAAGTTATGTTTACACCGTACTGTAGTCTATAGTCTATTACATGTACAATAGCATGTCTAAAAAACAATTACATGCCTTAATTAAGGAATAATTTATTGCTTAAAAACGCTAACCATCATCTAACGCAGGGTTGCCACAAACCTTCAATTTATTAAAAATAAAAAATTATCTGCAAACGCCATAAAACAAGGCATGCCTGGACATTGTGTAACTGTGGTGCAGTGGAAAGAACACTGAATTGGGAACAAAGACCTAAATGCAACAATAATTCCTTAAAAGACTGATTTACAGCCCTCTAAATAAGTTGTTTTTAACCACTTGGACAGTCTCCTAAAATAAATTATAAATTTCTTTGCTTCCCTAAAAAAAATACTAAATGAATATACTAAGAAGAATATACTAAACTTTTCTGATAACTTGGAGTTATTACAAATACCAGTATGTGTGTGCAGTGGATCACACGGCTTGTATTTACCTGGCCAACCAATGTGGTCAGATGCTTGGTACTTCTGTGCAGTCCACCTGTAGCCTGTGTATATGCAACATCCTCATTACAACAAATGTGGAGAGACGCAATATCTCACCAAAAAAGAGTGCTATTTCTCTGGAAGTAATAAATTCATAACTAGGATTTTGGAGATACTAAATCTCAACACTAAAATACTCAATACTATCAAATAAAATCTATTTGGTTCCTATGTTCCATACAGCAGGTGATCCAGAGTTTGTAGAGGGAGGCGTTTTTCTTAAAATTTACCAAGTATATTTAGATTATGAATTCGAGCAGCAAGACATGCCTGTTTGTTTCTAGAAGATAAGAATGTACATAAAACCCCCTAAAATATAACATTGAAAGACTGCAGCATATTACAGGATAGTAGTGTAAATAGTTTATTTGCTCATATGCCATGAAAAGACCAGAAAAGTAACATGAACTGCTTTTATAAAACATTTCTAATATTGCTAAGAAGCAGGCCCATTAACAGACAGAAAAGAGCATGCCAACATTATTGTCTATTTGTAGATTAATAAATAGGCAATTATTTTAACATGTTCATCAGTATTGAGCTTTGGAAAATAGCTGCTCTGTGGTGAGGGACCACCTATTTGTGTTGTATTTATGGTCAAATTGCTTTTTTCATCAAAATGAATGTTGAGTCAGACAAAATCTTGGCATGTTCTTTTTTAACGTACACATTATGAAAATGTGCTAGCAGGTGGCAGTTTAAAGTAACCTTTCTGTAAATATGCTAAAGTGAAAATGTAGTAACTGATCCCTAAACTGTCCTTGTAGTTAAATATATATTAAAAAAAGAAACCTATAAGTTAAAATAACATTCAGATTGTATAGCATAGGCTGATGCATTTTTAAACAATATTTACAATATTACCCCAGAGGCTTAGGTGGGAATTAAAGAGAAGTGTAAAAACCATAAAAAACTGCACCAATCTTATAGCAAAATATCTGTACATTTAAAAAGAGATATATAACTACACATTATCCAAGGGAAATGGGACCTTCACCAGAGTTCACATAAGCACAACAAAATAAGAAATTCAGTGGTTAAATACTATACAATAAACTTTACAATTAATATACTGATGTCATGTACCAAAAGGTAAGCCAGAAGCAGAATGTATATTATGAAAAGTACAAATTAGCTTCAGTCCAGTTTTTGACTTTGGAATGGATCAAGTGCCCTGCCAGAGAGGAAGGAAAAATAGCAGTGGCTTTGTTGGCCGTTTAGTCCCATTACATATCACTTAAACTTAATCCTGATGTATTTCAGAAATTTAATTGCAATCCCCCATAAAGTAATCTTGGAAATGCAAGAATTTTTAGCTTTGATATATGATGCCAAATAAATCTCCAGTCTACAAAAAGAAGGGGGGCGGGGGGGGGGGGAACCAACCCTGCCGATTGTCAGGATAATAAGGCCAGGATTCTAACACTACGCTGCTAGCAGAAGTAATCTTAAATGCTTGTTGATAGAGCTAGTGAACCTCTCCCTGGCTAGCAAGGCACTGATTTCTATTCTCAGGATTGACCCAAAATGGCCCTCAGAAATCCTAATACTGATTACTGAGATGTTAATTTTAGTGCTAATTAATAAACATTTGCATTATTTTTTAAAAGCTGCCTCTAGCTGAAGAACACAGTACTGCAAATAAAGTCTTATACAACATCTGTGTGCCATCATATCGTCGCATTCATACCAATGAATGTCTCTCATAGGGCATCGTACCCCAGCACAGAAGCAGAATGTGAAACAAGAGTTGACTGATTCTGTGCCACTGCAATAACATCATGTTTGTACTTTGCTGGGGCTTGGTTATGGATAGAAGGAGTTTATCGTGTGACTTTTTCCTTCTTCCACGTTGCAAGCCCTTAAAAATACCAAGTTGATGGGTATGGCTGAAACACAAAATTAACTCCTTAAAAGACATGTCAGCAAAGGAAGCCCACAGCAGATGCATCCATGTTATTTACAACTTATCAGGAAACCAGGGTGGGCCATCATGGGACAATCACAATGGCAGGTAATGAATGTAATATGAATTTTACATTTTGGTTAAAAATTGAATAACACACTGGTGTAAAAAGATACCTAATCAAATCAAATCCTATTGCTTTGATTAATCTGAGCAGGTACTTCCACTTTTAGGCACTTGTTAACAAAGGTTGAAAGGAGAGCCCATCATTTTTAAATTCCTATGTGTTTGCTAAATCTGAGCCCTTAGAATATTTTCATCTATGTTCAAGGCTGCAGTTAAATGATAGCACATAAAGTTCACATGGTCAGTTTCATTCACACACACCCTCTATTCATACAGGCAGGTCTCAGGTTCACATGGTTATTTCGGCACCATTAACAGAACGCAAGTTCTGATCATCAAAGCGCCGCCTGACACTTCTCCTCACCGCATCGGCTCGTCTGTATGGTTGGTTTCTAAGATCTGTGAAGAGGAGAGCACCAATAAGAGAAGTGGAACCTTTAATATCATGTTTCTAAGCAAGATAAAGGCCGGCTGGCAGCCAATCAAAGCAGCTTGTGTAGAAGAGTCAGCTAATGGGCCCTTCAAACTCATTGAGAATCTGAGCCAAAACATGTACTTTGCCCTCAGTATTTACAGTCAAACAAAACAGCATGTAATACTGGTGTGATTCTGGGCTCTTTTAGAAAACTATATGAGAGACTGCTTCTGTCACTGGCCAGAGTCTAGCTGAAGTCTTATTTTGAAATGTTTCTTCCATTGGAAATAGCTATTGCTTAGTAGTTATTTTTCTTTCCAGAAACCTGAATACCAACAACAACTGCAATGAATTTTAAACTGCAAAACTAATAAAACAGACTGCCCTGTCCTGTCTTATCGGAAATTTTTACCAAGGAAGGAACTTATGCTTAGTTTGCAGACACAGCTTCTATTATTTTTATTACATTAAAATTAGCTGAAGTCAGATTTTTATTTTGCGAATTAGAAACATAATACTCAACCACTGAATAAAAGTAATCACTAAATCAAAATAACACTCCATTCCTGAACATTCTTTGCTGCCACCCAAGATTTTTTGTTTTTCATTAGAGGGGCAAGGTGGTATGGGCCCTCCAGATTCTCCAATTTGTACTGCCAATGAACAGCAGGATGCCTAACTGACAGACAACAACAAAATGCCTCGTTGAATGAATGAATCAACGATTGCACGTCATTTCAAGCAGGCATTGTTCTAGAGGGATGAAGTGAGATGAACAGGATGAATTTTAGTATATGTAAGCACTCTTAGTGTGAAAGCATGCTTTCTTGATGAATAAGGCAGGTAGCCTAGCCAGCAGGTAGCCTCCATTTAATGGAGTCGGGACATGGTGAAAAGCAAAATAAAGCAGGCTTCATACTTTTTCCCCTTGTTTTGTTTAATTAGTTTGTAGTTCCCTTTCATTAACTTAGTATTGTTGATCTCTGTTTAGAAACAGTCTTACCTTTAGAAAGGGAAACACAAATAACAGAATTAAAACAGATTTAATCTTTTTAATCCCTTCACCTACTCAGATTGAAAATGGATGGGCCATACCTGGTCCACAGAATGTTTGGCCCCCGACTTAAATTTTTAAATACGGTTTCCTGCTATTTAAATTGGTGATTAACGTAAAAGCCAAGGTTTCTGGCTTCTCTTGGAAAACTGGAGGATCTTGCAGTACTGGGCCCAAATTCTAACATGGCAAAAACTGAGTGAGTGCTCAGTTAGGCACAGTCCCCACCAGCTCCTGACTCATTGGAATCTGTGACTCTGCCCTACTCCTAAATTCAAGCCAGGAATAGTTTTGCATGCCCTAATCCTCTCAAGCCTTTGCTTCCTTGCCCAGAGTGGTAAATGGAGGTCAGAATTCCATTTCTGGCTAGGGATATGCAGGAACCTGCAGTTCTGTGGTTCCTGAGTCCTCTGAGCAAAGACTATAGATCAAAGACTATAGATCACATTCCCTGGCCAGGACTTACTCTCAATTTCTTCAGATCAAAATGGGGTTAACTGAATAACTTGAAGGCCAAGAAGGGGTAAAGGGAAGGACAGCCTAGCACCCAAAGCAAGTATAACCATCAGCAAATACCCGTGCCCGAGCCATCACACTTGAGGACATGGAAGCAGACCAAAAGGTCCGAGAGAGAGGCTCAGCCGCGCATCATCGGAATGTGAGGTGCAAAGACTTCTCCCCGGTCAGACTCTCACCAGTATTACCCTCAGCCATAGATTGAAATCATTAATCTGCATACAGAGAGAGGAGGAAGCTAAGTAAAAAGTGATGCTTGCCAGCTCTGTGTATCCTCCACCACCGGTGTGCTAGAAGAAATCCTTACCCTCGAGTGAACATTTGGAAATTTAGTGATATTATTCTTCTTTAAAGCTAAACAGAAAAAAAACAAAAACACAAAATGATGGTTAAGTAAAAATGGGATGAAAATGGAAAGCAATTCAACTTAGTGAATAACATTCCCGGGCATGTTAGCCAACAGAAGAAGAAAACAGGAGGCCATACTACAAGAGGTGTTAGAGAACACAAGGGAAGGGTGAGCATGTCTTCCCACCCAGCTCTCTGACCACCCAGATCCAAGCTGCTTTGAAGTTTGGCTCCAGAACAATAGTTCAGCAGCAAAACTGACAATAAACAGTAGCCAAGTAGATGACAGTTTCTAGCCTTGTTAATAAGTACTGGTGGGATAAGTACACTATAGAACAGGCAACAACACACCACATCCTTTGATATCTTCAGAGAAAGAGGAACATACATAACAAGTGCAATTCATAGAAGAGTTAACGCCACAAAATAAACATGTAACCAGTTCCATGTCAATCTCAGCATGGGAGTCAAACAATGGCTGTTTCACATACTCCAGTTAAGAGTGTGTGCTTCCCTTGTTGTTATTCTAATCAACTGGGCACTACAGAGAAGTCTGTTCCTTATTTAACCATCAAGAACTAAGCCCAGGCAGTTACTTCTTGGGAAAGTTATTATTTCTGGTGCCTCCATCTTGACCAAAGGAGCAGATCCAGATATGATCTCATGACAGAAGAAATGCTCGGGGTTTGACATGGAACAGAGCCACCAGTGAAGAGGCATGAATGAGATAAGACAGTGGGAGCTCCTAAGCCTTTGTTCTCATTTCTTGCTTTGCAGCCTTGCTCCAACATGGAATTGCTGATAGCTGAAATTTGGGCATGACCCTGGGAAAAGAGGTGAGTATAAAGCTATAGATTGCCTATATCAGCTTATACAGGCTTTCTAGGTCAAAAGAGCTCCCTGAGTTTAGCTTGTACCATAAGCTCCACCACACTGTGGATGATGGCTACAGACTATATAAGACAGTTAAGAGAGACCCAATTTAAAGCTGTGTGTAGTTCACAGCTCCTTCTGCAAATCATTTTGCAACTTTAGAGCACCTGAGAGTTTGTATAGCAGCTCATTTTACTATCAAAGCATGCTAAGTACAAAAAGGCTGGTTTAATATCTGTAAATCTATTCAAACACACTAAGTGCTCCATAAATGTTAGGTATAGTAATTACTGTTATTAATGACTGTCATTTTGTGTTCAAAGATATTAGCCCCCAATTCTTAAAAGCAACCTAGTTGGTCCCAATCCTGACTCTCAAAGAAGTGTTCTATTCATCGTTTTCTGAAAATTTCTACAAGTAATTGTATTAATTCAACTCGCACACACCATCACAGCCATGTGGATTCACAGATGTATTGAAAGTGCTAGTGAGCAAGCAGTTATGACTGAAATGCAAAACCATGCAGTGTGAAGACAACATAAAATACAACATGATGGAGATGGCAATTCCATGCTAGGATGTTGGGTGGCCCTGACACACAAACAGAGGGTCATTAGGGGTCAAAAAATCTGTAGCAACCTTTTAAGAGCATCAGGTGAGAAAGAGTAATAGTTTAGTAATGGTATTCCTCAGTGAGAACAGGTTCGCAGAAAAATCGAGAGCCACGCTTGGCGGTGCGAGCAGTAAAGGGCACAGTCTTCAGCACTGCATCGAAAATGACAGCCAAACAAGACAAACAGAAGAGAGTAAGAAGCCAAGGTCTACTGCATTAGTACACGGTTAGTGCTTTGTTAATCATACCTGGGGTAAGGGTGGCAGAGGTGAGCAGGAAGGGTGTAAGGCAATATATATACCCAAGTGAGCTAATAAAGCCTAGAAGAGCTACTCAGTCTTTACTCAGTCTGGGGTAGAACATGGAAAATAGTCCAAGGAGAAAAAAAAATCTGCTCCATAGACAGATATTCATTTACCTCCTATGGCATATCAGGTCAGACAAATAGAAACTGTACATTTCACAAGCCAGGTGTCGCTAAGCTGGAGAACAGACTGATGAAAATGGCACTCTAAGTTCTTAATGTGCTATGGCTGGATGCTTCTCTACCTACAAGTCAATCTTACTGTGGCCCTGAGGCTAAGCGGTGCCACCCAAGGAGATCGGTTCCTGCTCCTGCTCATAGCAGAGCTGCTCCCTCAATGTGGGAGAGGCAAGGAGAGAGGCTAAACAAGGAAGCTTTATCTGGGAGCCATCTGCAAGCCACTGCAGGGTGAACACAGACACGGGCAGGCACAAATGTACAGAACACGTGTGCACCCTATGTAGAGACCCATCCCACTGCTTACACTGGTTTACTCTGGGCAAGGAACTCTTTATTGACTTCCGTTTTAGTGATTTATTCACGTATTTTATTTCCTTGGGTCTGAGGTGATGAAAGAAATCTGATTTGGGCAGTTTGGGATCCCTATTTCCAATGCTGACTACGCTATTCACAAGAAATGAGAAGTCAAAAGGCTAAGAGTTATATTTTTTAAAAATTAGGACAATTGAGGAAATGTGAATAATGACTAGCTATTTGATATTAAGGAACTCTTAGTTTTGGAGGTGTGTGATAATGGTCTTGTAGGTATGCTTGTTTGCTTTATTAAAGAGTCCTTATCTTTTGAAGATATATGTGGAGATATTTCCAGATGAAATTGTATGTCTTGGATTTGCTTCAAAATAATTCCAGAGGTTAGGGGGTGGGGAGTAGGTAGAAGCAGACGTGTAACAAGATTGGCCATGAGTTGAAAACTATTCATGGGTGAAGGGTACGTGGGAACTCATCATACTAATCTCTATACTTTTGCGTAACATTTCCTACAAGAGAGGTTTTAAGTACCTTGGAAGCTGATAAACAGTATTCCTATGCAACAAATGTGAAAGGAAAGTCACTTGTAGCCACTGCCCCAAATTATTGCCCTGATCCTTAAGAGGGAATGCAGAAACTCAGAAGAACTGGTTCGAGCAGCAGGCATTAGGCTACAACTTAATCAGACAAGAACCAATCTGGGTTAGGCACCATTCCTAGCTGAGAGAATGACCATCCCCCAACCCTGGGCTTCTGGCCTGTTGGTCTATCTGCATGAAAGCACCAGCTCCTGATTTCCTAATATCTTCACTTACTTTGAGTGCGTAAAAAGGCTTTTAAAGAGCATGTTGGAAAAGCATGTGTTGACTGTGCTTAGTATAGTATGGGTCCTGTCCATAGTAGTTATTAATCAGGCAGGTGGGTAGGAGTGGTCATGAGGGAGAAAATGGAGCATGGTGACAAATCCAAGACAACGGAACATCATTAGGAAAAGGAGCCCTGGTGAAATCTACAGGGTTCCAATGATACTGAGAAACAGAGATTTTTTTTCGGAGAGAGTGTCGGGGTTCTTTGACAGGCAGTATACAGGCTACTATAAATATATTTCAAATACTAGCATGGAGTTTCTCTGTAGTTCTGGATCTGAACAAAATCAACTGAAGAACTTGTAAACCCTGGACAAAATCGGTAGCATAATCTGTAAATGGCCTAGTAACGGTGAGGCCAGTGGGATCTCCATGGGCCACAATGAGAAAATAGCCTTTACCTGTGATAATATCTTCAATGGCACCGTCTTTTCCTTCGTATACGTGTCTATTATCTTTAACTTGTCGCCTTCTTAATTCCGCAATTAATTCTTGCTGCTGCCTCTTTGATTTGTGGGAAGGAGACTGAGAAGAAAGAAGAATGGTAGAGATTAGTGGGACCAGCACCCACTGGAGGTTTGGGAAAATCCAAAATGTGTCTGAGCATTTTGTTACTAACAAGCAGCCTCAGTCCGAAACACAAACAGCACCATCCCAAACACTCTGCTCAGCAGAGGAAAACTCAGAAAGCTTCTAGGAAGAAAAGCTTTTGCACTAAAGAATGCACAAAACTGGCAGCAACGGGAAGGCTGGACACTATGGCAACAAGAGGCAGCTGGTAATAACCAGTGACTTGTTAACCTTTGGTCCAGAGGATCCAGAGGAAGAATTCTTCGACCTGCCAGCCTTCGTGGTCTTCACCTATGTTGTTTCCCTCCATAGAATGCTCCCTCCCGTTCCCAGAGAAGCCCTCCCACTATCAAGGCCAGCATCAATGGCGACCCCGTGAAGCCTTCCTGTCTTGGGACACTAAGCCGTCCAATCATCAGGTTACCCGGGACGGCCTCTCTGTGTATCCAACTGAGATTTAAGTTCCCGATCTCTATGAACTTGGAAATGCCACACAAACATGCTCGCAGCCCCATTCCAGTGACTGCTGAACGAAATAACGAATGAACAAGTGTCCATCTGCCAAGTTTCCAAGGCCTAGAAGGAAGCGGAAGGCATCCTGTGCAAATCTGGCTTCCTGGCCTCTTGACGGCTCCATCTCAGGAGCCTGGCACACCTCACCTTTGGGTCCTGCTGCTCGAGCAGAGCTTCCTGCTCCAGGAGTTTCTCCATCAGCGCTTGTTCCTGCTTTTTCCTCAGCTCGTTTTCCTCCTCTGCTTGCTGGGTAAAATCAAAAGTGGCAGAAGATTATGTCAGTGGAAATGCCAGCAGTCAAGATTTTTAGAAGCCATTCTTAGAGAGTCCTTGGTTAGCCAGGAATTAGAGTTAAGGGAAGGTTTGGAAGATCTACACTATGTGCCTGATTCGAGGTTTTGCTGTCGGTCTATATCACACCTCTTCATAACCTAGTAGTTGAGATTCACCCCCTTCCAGAGAATTCCTTTCCTGATGGTTCTCTCCCCACTCAGGCTGCTTCTCAGCCTCCATACCATATATATCGGGGTACCTCCCCTTTTGGCAGCTCTGCTCAGTGATTTTCATGTGAGATTGTTTTTCTTACAGAATCTTTCCCCCTCCCTACAGCTTCTCTGAAAGGAGGGTCTCAGATTCCTCTCCTTTTGCCCAATGTTAGGGGAAAACCTCCATTCCCTTGCCTCTTGTTTCCTCAGGAGCCTCACCAAGTTGACACTCCTGGGCTTTCTTCCCACAGCTCACTCATTTCCAAGGGAGGCAGTGACAAGTGTGATGAATTAGGGACAAGGAATCCAACAGGCTGACCTCAGCTCAGCCCCGCGGGGCATCCCCTCTTTTGAAGCCAGCCTCCTTAAAGCAACTTCCAATAGTCTAGCTGTGCACTGGTAAGTCATCTAATTCAGGGCCGAAGGGTAAGCTCACAGAGACACACCCTGTCCTCCAATCCAGCTTTTATCAGTAATAAAGTTTACGTTTTCATCTCTGTTGCTTTTGTCTCGTTTCATTTTGGTTCAAACTTAGGAAGAGAAATGACAGATAACATCCTAAAACCCTAACATCCGCCCATCAAGTCCCTGGGTCAGTGTCAGGCTGGGCAGTTATTCACTATGTAATATGTTAGGGCAAACAGAATATCCTGCCACGTCCCTGCCTGATAAGCGCCTCACACAGCCAGCGAACAGGACCCCGGGGAGAAATGATAACGTGGAAGGAGCATCTGATGGGCTCTGACCTGTCACACCCCACAGACCAGCTTCTCTTTCTCCTCTGCTCTGTGCACGACCCCGCTTAAGGGCCAGACTTGGAGACCAAACAGGGGCACTTCCCAGCTTGTATTATACAATTTAAAAACAGCATATATTTTCTTTTGAGACCTTAGACTTACAATTTTTTTTTTTTTTTTTTGCAGTACGCGGGTCTCTCACTGTTGTGGCCTCTCCCGTTGCGGAGCACAGACTCCGGATGCGCAGGCTCAGCGGCCATGGCTCACGGGCCCAGCCGCTCTGCGGCATGTGGGATCTCCCCAGACCAGGGCACGAACCCGTGTCCCCTGCATCGGCAGGCGGACTCTCAACCACTGCGCCACCAGGGAAGCCCTAGACTTACAATTTTTTTTAGTGAAGAAGCATGGTCCCAGCTCATACCAAGAGCTACCTTGAGTCATCTCGGTAGCACATCAGGGGACCCCAGAGCACCACAGCCAGCAGCCCTGGTGACCAGTGCTTCTTATTGCTCACGGCCCCCAGGCTCTCGCACGTGGGCTTGGTGCTGTATTTGTGTTCATCCTCGCTGCCGGGGACACTTTCTTTTTGCTTGTGATACCACTGCTACGCTAAGCCATGCTGAGAGAAGATGGCTAAATATCGTAACCTTGTGAGTTTCAAGTAAAAGGCCCAAGGATGGTTCTCCAACGCCATCAGATGATGGTGAAGTGACCCACTGTTTCCAATCACATGTTTCTCAAAGATGTCCACAGCCCTGCCGCATCCCTCCCCGCTCCACAATCACACTCCTCCTTCCTAGACCAACATTACCCAGCTTGTACATAGACAAGCCTGGAGAACACAGATCGCAATGTCTCCTAAGAGCACTGAAGTTCCCTCATGCCCTGCCCTCCTTGTCCTCCTTTCTCAAGGGACAAATTCTTCTGACACAGATCTTTCTGGGTCACACGCTTTTTCAAGACCATGGTCCCGGATTATGTCATAGAAGGCCTCCCATTTAAAGGAAGGGCCATTATGGGTCCAGATGAAGAAACAGGGATCAACTGTCCTTCCTAGAGCCATCTTTTGGTCCACACTAGAGAAATGTTGGTCCAGAGGCCCACGGGCCTGGGCAGAGCTACGACACAAGCAGGCTCTCCCTGACCTCAGCGACAGTGCCACTGCCATAGGCCAGGGCTCACTCCTTCTACCCTTTACCCACTCAACAACTCCACGGGAGGCCTGGGTTTCTCAGTCCTTCAACCTGCCTGCGAGGGTCAACAGTCAACGGGGCAGCAGTGGTCCTGGATCTCACTTTCCCACAGGCAGCCAAGAGCTTTTGTTTGGGGGCTGAGCCCCCAGCTGGCCGGGTAGAGACAGGGAGCATGACGGGCTGAGGGCCGCAGAAGCAGGGCCAGAGACTGCTGTCTCGTCCTCACCACCCATATCTGCTGCCCAAAGGCACAGGGGAGGTCTCTGCAGAGCCACCGAGACCCAGACACAGCTCGAGGAGGGCACCCACTCGAGAAGTAATGCCAAGGAAGGCTTGACAGAAACCAGGCTCCTGCTTACCTTATAGGCTTTCACAAACCGGACAAAGACGGGAAAGAAGACAGAGGGTGGTGTCGTCTTGGGGTTTTCTCCAAAATACTTCACCACGTCATCGAAGGCATCCTGTGAAGAAGCGAATTTCTCTTGAATGTCATTTTTCCAGCATTTGAACTCGGCACTCTGGGAGAAGAGCTGCAGCACCTCCCACAGGTCTCTGGCCTCCATCCTCCCTCACCTCCCACAATTCTCTACAGCCTGTGTTTCCTCCCAACACCCAAAGGCAACCAGAAGAATGCAACACTGCTACACTGGGACCTCCTGCCACTTCTACACACACACACACACACACACACACACACACACACACACACACACGAATGAGGAACTACTCCTTTCAAGAGCGTCCTAAAGCCATGGGAAGACTCCTTAAAGCCAACCAGGTTAGAAGGGACCTTAGAAGTTTGCTCAGACTCTAGATCCCAGCTCACTGCTTCAGCGTTCCTTACCATAGCCACTCACTCACTCAAGTCTCTGCTTGAACCTTCCCGGGACACAAGGAAGCCAGCCTCACAAGGGAACCATCCCACCACGTCTGCTTCCTGAGTTCCCACAACCTTCTGCCTTCCCTTCTGGTGTACAGTCCATTCTGGCTGCTTCTCAGGTGTGTAAACTTGACCCCCAGTGTGGTATAAGATTTCAAGGTCAAGGCCTCCTGGAACCCAACACACTGGGGAACACTGCTGTGCTGAACACAGGCCTACCACACGTTGGTTGAAGTGAACACAGGACCCACGATAAAGGGAGCCTAGGAGTGGTAGGGGAGGGGGCGGGGAGGGCCTCTAGAGAAAAGGGTGAAGACCTCAAATTAGAAGAGACAATGAGAGCACAGGGGCATCTCCAGGTACAAAATGCAGAAAGATCCCCATCCCCCTTAATAACAGCTACATAAGAAATCTACCCTATGGGGCTTCCCTGGTGGTGCAGTGGTTGAGGGTCCACCTGCCGATGCAGGGAACACGGGTCGTGCCCCGGTCCAGGAAGATCCCACATGCCGCAGAGCGGCTGGGCCCGTGAGCCATGGCCGCTGAGCCTGCGCGTCCGGAGCCTGTGCTCCGCAACGGGAGAGGCCACAACAGTGAGAAGCCTGCGTACCGCAAAAAAAATTAAAAAAAAAAAAAAAAGAAATCCACCCTCAGCAGACAGAGGACAACTCCCCCTCCGCCCCCAGAGCCAGGGCCAGCACCCCAGGTGGCTTTAACGGATCCAATCCCTTCTTCTTCATGGGTGTTGGGGGCACAGACACTCACCTGTGCAATCTTGGCATCATCCTGCAGCTTCTTCAGCTTTCCCTCATTGTTGAGGATGAACTCCTTCAGCAGTGTGTTGTGGTCATGCATGGTGTACTCCCTCTTGGTCAAGTCCATGCCCCTCTGCAGCTCCTTGACGTCCAGTAAAACATTCTCAAGGGAGACTGAAGTAGAGAAAGCAATGTCCCCGTGACTTCAGCCGGGAAAGTCAAAGCCACAGTGAGTCTAGCTGATGAGCAAAGTTCTCAGTGGGTTTCTAGGGTTACGCAAGGCCCTTAGATCTAGTCTCCGGCCTTCAGTGCAGAGATCCTTTAATAGGAATAATTTACTAAGTGCTCACCATCAAGCACTGCATTAAATCCTTTACATGCACTAATTCAGTTGCACCACTAGTCCATGTTGCCAACGAGGAAAAGCAACACAAAGAGGTTATGTGGGCTGCCCTAGGTGACACAGCTAGGAAGTGACAGAGATGGAGTTTCGATAACCAGCACGGATCCCAAATCCTGTGCTTGTTCCCAACTATTCCATTTCTCTTACTGGAGATGATAACCTATTGGTTGGCCTGTAGGGTTAGAGGTTCCTTAACTGACAGGCCCAAGAGCTTATCCTCTACCTGACTCTTTGAACTCCTCTGCATTTCTGTGGCTCTCCAGCAGGGGGTAGCATTTTACCTATTGAATTTTTTAGCTGTACTGTCCACAGGGACCCAAAGCAACCCTGACCAGCTTCTTTTTGCTAAACAACCCTTCCGTGCGTCAGAAGGGGTTATTAGCACAAACCTTTCCATCTGCAGTGCGGCCACCCACCCAGAGTGGATTCACTCCTGCAGCCTCCTGCAGGAGGTCTGGGCGCCACCTCTGGCTCCCCACTGCCTGACGCAGCTCTGCACGTGGATGGATTACGGAATAATGTAGCATGCTTTTCCCTCACTAGACCCACACTGTTATTCATCTTTGACTCCTCAGTGCTTAGGCCTGTGCCAAGTACAAAGCAGGAACTCAGAAAGGTTCACTGGATAAAGGAAGGATTGAGTAAATAATTGAGTGAAGGGATATGGAATCCATGTCAGCACACCTGGGCCCCAGAGTGAGAATACAGAAAACAAGTCAGCCAGAGAGCACCTCAATCTCCCCATTTTCCTCCACTGACTTTTCTGAAATGACACTTTAGGGGAATCTCATTCGGGCCAAACAAAATGTGCTATAGGAAAATTTTTTTAACTTTTTTTCTTAATTAGAATGGTGATGCTAAAGAACCCCTCATTTAGACAAAGGGAAACTTGAAAGGAGGAAAACCACTCTACCAGAAGAGAAATCCTGGTAACTGCCTAAGTAAGCCCCGAGCCCTCAGTAGGTCTGGCACGGCCTGCGCTGCACAGTCCTCTGTAGTCAAAATATCATTTCCTCCTGCCTCTCAGCCTCCTCTAGGGCTTCAGCAGCGTCTATCCCAGTAACAGGGCATCATCTCATTCATTAATTCACTCATTCATTTGTTCCCAACCATCAATTTGCCAGGAGCTAAGGAAATTATAAAGATAAATAAAATGATTATACCCCTACATGAACAGGTTGCAGTGGACATGCAAAATGTTGTGATAAAATTTATTATATCTTGTATGAGAGGCTTGTATGGAATGCTCTTGAGTAAGAACACAGAAGCAGCAGCCATCTACTCTGAGGAAGGCAGAGAAAGCCTTGCCCTCGGAGATTCAATTCGCTAAGTCTGGGGTAGGTCTCAGGAATACAAATTTACAATAAACACTGGCTGCTTAAGATCATCATTTGAGAATCACAGCCTGTATTCAACTCCGAGGTCAATCTGCATCTTGTTCCTTTTTCTGGGCTAATGTTCTTTTGAGAGGATGTGGTACACTGGACAACATACCATATGAGAAGACTATCTGAGTTCAAGTTCTGTTTCTATCGTTTTCTACCCATGTGACCTTGCGCAAGGCATTTAATCTATAAAAATGTCACTTTTTTTCATCTGTAACAGTACAGCCCAACTATCTCAGAGCAGCCGATGATTTAAACGAGAAAATGTATAACTGTCATAGCAAAGTAACAACCAAGAAGTACTAATAATTTAACTTGTGCTCAGGCTAAACACAAAATGTTTAGAACGGCCACACCTGAGCAAATGGGACAGCACAAAATCTAATTCAAGTGTTTGTTGGGGGGGGCGAGTCTCAGAGTCTCTCCTTTCAAATGACAGCAACAGAATAAAAAGGGCAACAGATGGAAGAGGGAAGGCACATGATGCCCAAAGACCTGGATCTTTATAAAGAGAACACTGTCCTCTTCACGTCCATGTCTGTTATTGCTCCCAGGTGCGGGCAACACCAGAGGCGATGTGTTTCAGCTCAGAGCCTCTGACGTTTTAGCCTCCCCTTTGTAGAGGGGTTCTGAAGAGTGTTGTTTAAGCAGGGAAGGGTTCCCCCATGATTCAAGGCATTCATACCCAAGAGTAACATTAAGAGCTGAAATCAAGTACCTGAGGCAGCTTTCTCCACATAATGAAGCTCATTATAAAATAGGGACACTTGGTGGTATTTTTCTTTTACGACATTGGATATATAGTGCAACAGTGTTTGCTTTCGGTCCGTTGACTTTGTATCTAAGAGCTGAAAACCAAAGGGGATGAGGGTTAGAGTAACAGATGATGGGAGAGTTACCTGCCAGATGATGCTCCCCCGCTCAGAATAAATACCTGAGCACAGGTGCCCCAAAGCGGAGAGAAAACATTCCCACAGGAGAGTCAGCTTTGTTCTCAGGTGAACCAGCCCATGGATTATTAAGTGACAAGAGGACTTCCTGACCAGGGGACACGCTCAACTTTAGGGACGACTCTAAGCATGAGAGCGTCTCTCCTCACGTGAACTCCCCGCCCCCACCTGCTCCACCACCTCCCTGGCTTACAAGCAGGGAGACTCCAGTTTCAGTGCTCTCCCAAGTGAAGGCCAGAGTAAGAAGTGAGGCTGGAGCCGGGAGTGTGCATAGGTGTGCACAGGTACACCTATGCCATAGTCCTCACATCTGCTCAGCCCCACTTACTCCCCAACTCAAAGCAGATGTGCTTAACGTACGTACCATGGCCTTCTGGGGCCCAGAACTGTGACTAACTAGACAGTCCCTATCAAATAACCATGTCCCCCCACACCTGGGGCTGGGGACTCCAACCACTGCCCAACCTGCTCCCGTGGAAGCCACGTCTGCCAGTGCAGCCCGGGGGACAGGGCTCCATGGAGCATTCTCTCTAGTCCTGTTCCTAAGTCAGGTGACTCTGAAAAGCAGAGCACCCTTCTTCATCCAGGAAAAAAAAAAAAATTTTTTTTTTTAGAAAACAGAAAAGTATAAAGAAGCAGCTCAAAAAGCTTCCTAATTCCACTCAACCTCTCTGTTAATATCTTAATCTACTTCCATTCGGGTTTTTTTTTCTCCATATTTTACCTAGTTAAAAATCAAACTGTACAGACAATTTATACCCTGCTTTCTTTCCTAAACACAAAAGTGCCTATTCCTTTGAAAACGCTTCACGAATATTCTAACAGTTGAAGAACAGTTGACCGTATTAACTATCATTACAGCATATGTAATCATTTCCCCAAATGTTGAATCCTTACACTGTTGCTAATTATTTGCAATTATAAATAAAATATAGCACCCATAATTCAGACTCCTGAGGAAAGATTCCTAGAAATGGGAATATCGGGTCAAAAGGTATGAGTATTTTTAAGGTTCGAAGTGCTTGCTGCCATATGGCGTTCCAGAAAATTTGTACCCACTGCTCCGCCCACTAGCAGAGAATCTTCATCAAAACATCCCACCCCACTTCCAAGAGCAGACTCTCTCTGCTCCAGGGCTTAATCTTTGCCAGCTGTTTTGTCTCTCATATAGCTCTTGTACTTCTTTTAAACTCTGAAGTTTAAAAACTCACCAGATCTAAACTCTGAAGTTTAAATCCATAAACTGCTCCTCGTTTACTGCTATTCATATAGTTGCCAAGGGCCAAGATGATCTGCAAAGAAAGAGAGAAAAGGGAAGTCCATCGGTACAGCATCCCAGGCATTCCCAGGCTGAGGAATGCAGCTGACAAGTCAGCTCTTCCATACACGTATAAGAGGAAAACTTCACTTGCCTCCAGAATTTTCTTGAGTTTTTGGGACGACTTTATAGAGACAGATGCTGCTATAATTGAGTGCAGTTGCTAGATTCCAGTCAAAGGAAAGAGGAGGGGGGGAAAAAACGACATGTTAAAAATGGGAAACTCCGATTGAAAACTAAAACTTTAATACAGAAGAAAACAGACCTGCATTTAGAACTTAAAGCCTTAATGCTGAGATTCTATTTTTTCCTAAACATAACAATTTTAAGTTGTCCTGCTAGGTCTTAGGTAACTAGAGCATTACGTGTAAGCTCTTCTCTAAATAGAAAGTATTATCAGAACTAGCTTATCATAAAATCTGTAAGCAATGAGACATAAGTCAGGAGTCAACAGCGTCTTCCAGGAGAACTCAATAGCCTGCCCACCATCTCTAACCATGTAATACAATTCATATTTTTAAATCAGTGGAGCTAGCCAAGAACAAAAACAAAACAAAACAGCAAAGAAATATAATCACCGTGCAGAAGTTCTCAGGACATATTTTGGACACACATGCTACTATAATCAGTAATTAACAAACATTTATTTAGAAATAGAACTGGGAAAGAACTATTTATGATATTCGTAAGTCTCTACCAGATTAACACAAAGGAACAAGCGATGGTTAGCTATTATTTCTACGTCACCACAGTGCACTGTAACAAACTTCCAAGGAAGAAGACCCCCATGGCAAATTTAACGTTTCCAATGAAAGTCAATAAGCCTGTTCACTGAAGATATGAGATGGTTTTCAGAAATGAAGTTAAATTTTCAGTCTTGGTAACCCAGCCAGAGGACTGGTACCTTGAGGAGGGGACCAAATTTGAGAAAATTATTCTCCTTGTCCTCTGTATTGAGGTGTTCTTTAAAATCCAAAGGATATCTGTAGACACAGGAAATGGCATTCTCTAGGGAGAAGAGCAATATGGAATGGGGAAATTCACCGTTTTCAATTTTACTTGGCATACACAATGAGAAAAAGAGGGTAAAAATAAAAATGCCATGTCGAAAGTTCTGGGAAGAAGTCTTAGAGCCCATGACATTAAGTGCAATTCTGGGAGAAAGTTAAAAGAAAAAAAAACAAAACAAATGCTATCTGTTTGGACCCCTTCCCTTGCCAGAGTTGGTCCACTCACAGGAGTCAGCATCTGAATGCTTTCGGCAAAGTTCCCAATGAAGGCCATGATGGTCATCTTCTGCATGAGCCTCTCAATTTTACTGAACTGCATCATGAACCGGTCTTCATCTGACAAGTTTTCCAGGGGCTTCCTTTCCCGCTCATAGAGCCGCAGCACTTTCACCTCATTCTCAGTTGGCAAGAACCTCATCAAACACTCTACAAAGTCTACAGGCAATGTCTTCAAGTCAAATCTGAAGACAGAGGTGGACATGTCAGTATTAAAGAGAAAACCTCCTCCCCTCTCAGCCACACCTCCACCTGGTCCAGATCATGAACCACCATGTCGATGAGTTGATGCCTACAGCTGGACGATGTCTACAGATGTGAACATGCCCCTTGGTGCTGGCTCCTGACTGTGCATCAAGCACGTTCACTGGTCCTTCCTGGAAACCTGGACCTTATCACAACTGCCATGCTCAGTTTTTAGGCTGTTAGTATAGCTCTAAGCCTCTAGACATCAATAGTAAATGACAGCAGGTAGAAGCAGAAGGAAAGCTGAAGTATCTGGTGGTTAAGTGGTTCAAGGACATGTTTTTTTAGGCCTGTGAAGTACTGCTAATTAAGGAGATATAATATTATATACACACAATTACAGAATATCTGATGAACTCTGTAAAATATTTCAATTAAACCAGTAAGTCTGGGATATTTTTTCTCCTTTAGAAAAAAATGCATCAAAATGCCTGTACTATATGGATGCTTTGGCTTAAATGCATACATCCCTTGAGGGAATACTCAGTCTTTGTGGACCTATACTCCATCTGAACTAAAGAAGTATTTGCTACAGTCTCTATTCTATTCTCTGGACAATCTTTGTTCAGCAATAGAATTACACTTAATCATCATGACAAACAAGATATGTGAAGATTAAAAACCAGAAGTCATATCAGGTTGCAACACTAGAAATCAGAACAGATGATAGGGTGCACTAAACTACTAGCTTATGATCCCGGCTGAGGACATGAAACTGGAACAAATGATTTCTCAGTGTCTTTTACTCCCCTAAGAATCTCTGATCTCATAAAATTTATGAAATACCAATTAATGATGAATTAGTTCCTAAAACATCTAATAACATCCTTATCATATTTGAACGTCACCATGACTCAAAGAGTAGAAAGATTCTTCTAACAGAAGAGTAAATAAAATCAATGCCTTCTCTGCAGTTCAAGGATTAAAAAAAGAACTAAACTTGCTTTAAGATGCCCTGAAAGGGCTAAGGAGCAACAGAAATCACATTCCTATTGTTATGAGTTAAGACAAGCCTCTGTCTCCTATTTGCATCTGGCATTGAGTTGAATCATTCCACAAATGCCATCAAATTTGTACTCAGTGAATCTGGATAAAATTCAGACACTCCACAGAAAACTGGTATTTTCTCCCTTTTCTCAGCATCTGCAATACTTCTCTCAACTTTCCTGGCTGCAGGCATATGTAAGAGAACAGACCAAGATAATAAACGATGTCACGATCCAGTTGTTATTCTTCTAAAACAATTAATTACTCATTCTAATATAGCACCCCCGAAGGTCATTTCTGGTCCACCTCTTCAGCGTTACCATTTTCATTCTAAATTTACTAGGATATAATCTTTCAGAATGCCCTGAACTTACACATGAATAGCTTTACATATTTCATCCGCGGTCTTTCCAGCTTTCCTTAAAGTTATGGCAAGATTTTTAGCCCTATTTGCTTCTAGTAATGTCACTTTGTTTGATCCCTTCTGCGTTATCTTCTGTTTGCTTGAAGAAAGATCAATGGCAGGACCTTGGGCTTTTGTCTTAAATATTTCTTCAAATTCATCTACATTTAAGTCCTGGGTTGGAGAGGAATGAAATAGGCAAATTAGATTATACTTAAAAATGAAGTCAGGAAGCCACCATTTAGACAGTTTCTTAAGCATCAAAGAAGTTACTTTTTCTACTAAGTACTGATACTTGTCTTGGGCCATGGCTTGCTCTATTTCTCTATTTGTGTTAGTGTTGTGTGACTTATGCCACATATACAGACAAAAATGTCTAAAGTAGACAACTGTTTCCAGCCAGTTAACTCAATTGCCTTTCAATTACTGCCTCGTAGGGATGGCCAGCACAGACTAAAACTATCCACCAAACCAGCTAGTAGGCGTGATTATTGAGTCCTTTTTCACTTATAGTTCAATAAAGGGTTTTTATGCCCCTTTATAAATTAAGGGCAGAGATTGTGTCAGATGTACATTTTGTGACATACAGTGAAAGATGTTCAAAACTATTCCATTTTAATGTATAATACGTTTTTAAACGTAGTTTTAGAACCACCTTACAAAATAGCATCCAATTTTATTCTCCTTTTCTTCTTTACATCAAGACACTTAAAACACTAGCTTTTATTGCAGAAACTTTCAGGTTAACACAGCACCCATTCTGGCTTTGCTGCACAGAGAGGGCCCCTTGTTTCTAACCCATGAGAAAGATACCTCCAGAATTCGCTCATCATCAATTTCGTTGAAGACTGTGCCATTGATCTGATTTGGCTTCAGGGCAACCCAGTTAAAAACTGGCATTCTGAATTTCGTCTTGATTGGCTTCTTAATTTTCACAGCTACAGAGGTCAGAGAGAATGAAATTAAGATTCCACCAAAACCCTCGAGAACAATCCGACAACAGTCCTTGCAGATGACACTCTAACACTGGAGGAAGGCTGGCAAGAGGTGGCCAGGTGTTTTAAAATATGGAAAACATCAGGCAACACTGTGGCCAGGGCAACTTGAGGTCATCATTTGATACAACAGTGTGTTACAGTTGCCTAAGAGCTGGGGTTCTGCTTTTATTTTTTTAATGCAGGCAACTGGGTGGTTGAAATACAGTCACAGTGTCAGGACAATGCTTAGGACAAATAAAGAGTTGGGGAATAAAAATTATTCTTTATATTATTAGATAGCAGAGAGGGCAAATACTCTGTGTCACTTAGTTTGACACTGGTGAATGTGAAGTCGCATTCTGACATCCTGAATTTCTGGCTCTCTAACACACATTTCCAAAACAAATCTTCAAAGATGATCAGAGGCTGCAGACAGTGTCTGCTTAAACCTCCAGGAATGAAATGTCAAGGAGGCTGACTTCCAGCCAGAGCAAGACACTCCTGTGGATGATTTCAATAATGGGGATGATATTGGCTGTTGAGAGTTATTCCAAACAGACTAAGGGCCACAAATGGCCCAAAACAGAATGTTTAAGAAGACAAAAGGGGTACTTAGAAATCTGGGTTTGTATTGCTTTCTGGAGAAGGGCCACAGTCCCCTCCCCCTCTCTTTTAAGTGCAACCTCTCCCCAGGAATCAGCTACTACTGCAACTAGAAGGTAAGAATGCACCCATTAAAAATACTGAAAACCTCTTAATAGAGAGGAAGGGTCCCACCTTTGAGGGGATGGGGGTGGGGGGAGTGCCACCTCCTCTTACTTTGGGGAAATGAGCTAAAAAAGGCAATCCACTAAAAATTCCATTAATTAACTGCACACCATAAAGAAGTCTTCCCAAACCAATTAGCTATAAATATTCACCATCTTAAGTCTGTCTCAGGGATGCCCACCACACTATTTGGGAAGGGAGGGAGAAGAAATTCAATGCAGAACAAAAGAAATGGAACACACAACTGGGCTTTTACCTGGCTGCCTGCCTTACTGAAAAAACGGAGAAAGACAGTGCCTCTCGTTCCTCCAGAGTTACAAAGGCCACGTAAACAGCGGCAATGTCATCTGACAAATCCACACAGAAGCATGCAGGAACACAGAAACACAGCTTTTGCCAAAACAGGCCTTCCACCACCAAATGTGACACTTTACTCTCTACTACCCAATAGTGTCCATTTCTGTCCTTGCTACCCAGGAAAGCCCATGTCCTCCAGGGGACAAAGGACCAGACCTTCCTCTAGTCTGGCACTTCTGCAGAGTTGAGGGAGAAGAGGTGGATGGGAGTGGGGGTGACAGGTCAGCGCCATCCGGTTCCATCATCCCTCCACAGACAACGCAGGCCTCAGGACACTCCCTACAAGCAACTCCCTGTGCAGCCACCCTACTTTTAACTCTTTAAGCAAGATTAGGTATAAGCCTGAGATCAGAGCACAGGCCAAAAAGTTCTCTTCTGAAAGGCTGCCCTGACTCTGACTGGGGAGTTGGGGGGCTGGGTTAGCAGAGGCGGGGTCTATAGGTGACCACGATACGCACCATGTTCCCAGTGTTCAAGCTACAGGAAGTGGCTCTGCGTGGGTGGGTGGGTGTTCTGTGGAGAGAACCGATCACCAGAGGAAGGGGACTAGGAAAGCAGCACCCAGCAGCTTTCCCTTATTCTGGGGAGGAGCCTTCCTCTCTCCCTCAGGATAAATCTAAAATCCTTCTACGGACTTCCCTGGCGGTGGTCCAGTGGTTAAGACTCTGCGCTCCCAATACAGGGGGCACGGGTTTGATCCCTGGTTGGAGAACTAAGATCCCACACGCCACGGCACATGGCCAAAACCAACCAAACAAACAAAATTTTAAAAACCCCTAAAATCCTTCTAGAGTTGAGGCCTTAGATCCAACTTTTAAAACTAAACTAAAAAACATTCCTTTCCCCAGGGAGAAAGGAACAAGGCACCTGAAACCCAGGATGCCTGCTTAAAGGGCCATAACCTCTTCTACAGGTTCAACTAAAACATGTGGGCAACCCTGGAATCACAGCAGCCAGCCAGCACCACACCTCCCCGCAGACACAGAGCAAATGCAATGGCTCAATGGGAGATGGGGTGGAGATGTCAAGGCACAGCGTGACCCACAGGAACACAGGGCAGACACTCAACACACTCAGGGAGGAGCAACCTACAGAAAAGCTTGATTGGCCCGTCTTTTGTGGAAGCAGAAAGAACAAAGAAAATACAAAAGAAAAATTAGATACGGTTAGCGTTCAGCGGCTCAGCAGTCCACACACTCTTAGCGGAGAAGTCCATGCTTCTGGGACACATTTCACAAGGCAGCACAGAGCCAAAAATTCATTTCCATTCAGACCTGCCTTAAAGATGCCCTTATTATTTTATTTTAAAAAATAACTCTTTTTTAGAAAAGGGGGAAAAATGATTTCATTATATAGTGCTGCCAAAGAGCCATATTGACCTGTGCTAGGTATTCCATAAGACATAAACAAGTTTTTTTAATGAAAAAATGATCAGCTGAAGTCCCAATTCTCACTGCGAAGTTCCAAAGCATATTCTTCCGAAGAGAAACAGCAAAGGTTACAGACTACCCAGGGGTCTGTCATTGATGACCTGACCGGGGAATGGGAACCAGGTTGGTCTAACAGATTTGAGGAGGTATGCCTTACACTTCAAATGCACATTTCACACTACTAACATATTCTGTATAAAATGCAAAGAAAAGTCCACAAGATAAACTCAGGGGACCTCCTCCTGGTCCCCTGACTTGGTCACCAAGAAGACACTTGCTCATTGCCTGCTGAAGAGATAAGACATCCAGTTGCCTGTGGATCTAGGGGTCTAGTGATGTCACAGGTTTTTGGCTTCCTGGGGGGCCCCTGGCATATTATCTCAGCTGTCTCTTGGCTCTATGGGGACATCCTGATGCTGTCTGGCCTCTTGGTTCCAGAGAGAGAGTGTTACTGAATACACTGGCAAAACATCTCATAAAATGGGTTACAACCACTAAGTATTAATGGCCGAATTAAGGATGAGTAATGAAAAGAGATTAAAGGCCTTGTAGAAACTACCTGATCTCAAGCTATCAAAGACTCGTAAGGATTTTATAATCCTTATGTCTTGTAAAACACAACATCTTGTAATTGTTTAATGGATGCTTATGGCACTGAAGAGGAGTTTCTTCAGTCCCACATACAGTCCTTCAAATTGCATAAGACACAAAGGGGACAACTTCCAAATGTAGAAATCCTGAAGGGAGCAGTGAGGGATCAGCTGAACAGAGCTTCACACTGTAAAACTGAGGCAATCATTGGAGCCAACAAATTATAAAGATTAAGTAGGAGGAAGAACCCAGGCAAAAAATTTAACGAGAGAGGCCAAGACTTGTTCAGAAGGGAGTCCTGGACGTGCACATCTGAGACTCTTGGCTCTTCTCTCCGCCAAGGCAGTTCTGAGGTCCAAGTCGGAGCCCAGGTGAAGGGAAGTAGAGGCCGTATCGCACATTAGGTTTTGTCAGACAGAAAGGAAGCAGGACCAAAGGAGAGACACGCTCATGGTGAGCGCTTCTGGGAGGCTACAGGGAAAGCCTCATCAGTGGGCCCAGGTGCACATGACAATGACACTATCACTGAAAACAGCCTGTTGATGTAACAGATTCCTGGGGCTCCTTAAGAGGTTTTCTGTTTGTTTATGTTTCAAAATCCAACAGTTTCATGATGACGCTCCTTTAACTTTTGTCCTTCAGAAGCAATAAAAGTTCTAGAAGAAAGCGGTAGACGAGGGAGACCTTGAAAGGTCGAAGTAAGTCATTGGTTTACTGCCAACACGACTTTGAACAGGCATCTTGTCTGACAGTTTTATAGGAGCTGGGGTGGAAGTAAACACCACAGATCTGATGTGGAACATGTTTGTTACAGGTGGTTTATTGGTGTCGAAAAGGGCTTCAGTCACCAGGATAAATTAGTCCTAATGACTGGTAAAGCTGTTGATGGGATGGGCACGCTAAGAGATGGAGACTGGGAGATCGTTTACAGCTGAGACCATCATTTACACTCAGGGCAAAAGGCTCTGAAAACCACTGCAGCCTTGGAAATGAGACCATTATTGTGCTAGTTCATCAGAAATAAGACACCTCATGAAGGGACTGAAATGGTTGAGGAAGCAGAATTATCTGACGTCACAGGAACGGCTTGGCAAAGCTCAGAGCAATTCCAAACGCCAGGGGAACACTCCGTGACTGGGAAAATGGCTTGCGGTATTTTAGAAAAGAGTAAAAATTTATTTCTGTGAGTCAAAAATAAGAACTTATATTTCAAGACATTAGAGCAGCTCTCTCCCTCTCATCCACACCCGCCCCATTTTATTTCTGGTGAGGGAGGGATGCCGCATTCTATCCTGGGCAGTGGAGCATTTCAAGGCAAGAAGGTACTGCTGGTGGTAACGCCTCCCTTTGAAGCTTAATTCCACTGTAGTGAATTGTGATGCCCTCAAATGCTCGGAAGAAATGCCTGGAAGCCTACATCAAGCAATTAACACAGAGAGGCATTTTCCCCTTTTATAGATGCCATCGAAAATAGCCTCAAAGAAAAGAGCCATAAGCACTGAAAGCACGCTATGTCAGAGCTTGGACTGTCATGTTTGCTGAACCCATGAAAAGGCACTGACCCCTAAGGAGGTAACCTGTCTCTCTTCCCTTCTCTAGATGGGGAGAGAAAAGGTAGGAAAACGGTGTGAGATCAGAACTTCCTGTCAGGGAAAGAGTGACAAAGGCTACTGAAAGAAAAATGCCTCCTGTGCACAATTTCCCCTTTACTGGCTGCATTAGCAGGAATGTTCTTATATTAAGAGGAGACACATGTGATTTTGCAAGAGACGTGGACTTTGAAAGAATGGCCTGGACCCTCTAGAGGTCAGACAATTGAGTATTTGTATTAAATATCTGGGTCTTAAATCTGCACTCTTACCTGCTAATCCTGAGTTGAAAACCACTGTGGGTGAAGACGTCCCGGGCAGCGGGGGTGCAGAGGGAGGAGGGGGGGGCAAAGGGGGAGCCGGCACAGTCTCAGCTGCAGGACCCGGGAGAGGAGGTGGGGGCGGAGGGGGAGGCGGGGGAGGGGGAGGGGGAGGTGGGGGAGGGGGCATAGGCGGCGTGGCTGGACCATTTCGCGCTAGCAAAAGAAAAGAAACAAATCGACTTTGAAAACAGGGGAACGGTTTTTCCTGCAATATGCCATGTGTACATAAAGGACCTGAAAACAAACACTGAGGAGGACAAAGGGTTTTTTCCCCAAAGACTACAAAAATGTCCTCGGTAACAAATGGGGAACATCTGTGCCATGTGTGAAATGAAGACGTATACCCTTCATCTCAAAAGGTAAAAGTTCTTAGAATCAATCAATAAAAGAAATGCCAACAGAAACAGACAAAGGACATAGATGAACCGTAGGTAAAAGAAGTACAGATATCCCAATGCTCTACCTCAGCTCTCTCGCCAAGGCTTCCTACCTGCTTCAGGTGTGTCTGACAACAGAGGCAGTGGTGGGGGAGGAGGGGGCAAGGGTCCCGAGGCGGCGGCCCCCGTCACTGGCCCCACAAAGTCACCCACCACCACTTCGGACCCCGTGGGCAACGTGCCAGAAGCCACGACCGGCAGGATGGCGATGTCCCCATCCCCTTTCTTCTGAATTTTAATGGTCCCTTGTTTCTCCAGCTCATGAATCTTTTTTTCTAGGGTAGACTGTCTTTGAATGGCTTCTTCTTTCTCTTTGACCATTTTCCTTAATGTGTGAACCTGGGTATTTGCATCTTTGTAGATTTCCTGCAAAAAAACACATGGTCAAGAGTTGGTCTTCACGTGACATTCGTGCCTATTACCGTTAGATTGGCAAATTGAGGATAAAGAAAATAACAGAAAAAAAAGGAAAAAAGAAAAAGGATACTTATTATATACACACACACACACACACACACACACACACACACAGGAATTCTATGGAACTCAGCCAGAACTTATAAAGTCCCATTCGTTATCAATTGTTCACTGGTAATGCATGCAATACATTCTAGCAGTTGTTACTGTTGAGGTAATTCTTTCCATTAATAAATACAGCTAAGTCAGTTTTCCCCACAGGTGAAGAGGAACAGGGCAGAGATGACCCAAAAATAATTTTATAGCTGACTTTGGAATATCCTGAGGGTATTCTGGTGGTGCAGCATGTTTTCTTTTCACTTTTGTTAAAATTCATTTGTTACTCCTAGATACATATCAGCTAACAGTAGACAAAAGGTCCCTAAATCAGACTTGGACAGAAGTCAGACTGGGATTAAAAATCTGCCAATCATGGAATAATCCACTTATGAGTAACCAACGGCTAACTGTTTTGAATGGATTTCTCTGGCCTTCACAATGCCCCCTTGAGCAAGCTCAGGACAGCAACTGTTGTAACGTTTTCCAAAACAGGCCAATGTTTCCCTCCACTAATTCCTTATTTCTGTCTAGGTTCTTCGCAGAAAACAAAGAAGTTACAATTTTCAATTCAAAGGCTGTCCTGGTTCCTTTTATAAGGGGTCCACAGAGGTTCCAGTGGAAGGATTTTATGGAACCCACTTGCTGGGCCTTACACACGTGATCTCTCACCACAAACCTCCAGCAGGTAGGGAAACATTCTTCACACCCTGTCTATTATTAATAATCTGAGAGTCTGAACTTGAATTGAGTCCATATGCTACAACTCTGTCTCGATGGAGTGCCAGAAAATAAATTTCCTAGAGTTAACTGTAGGACCTGTCAGAATATCAAGCAACACACACAGACATGATAACTATCACATAAAATGTGCCATATCATTAACGGTCGTGTAAAGGCAAGCCATTTGCCTAAAAGCCCTCCAGGCATTTTGGTGTTTTTATGTTCAAGCACATGGATGGCACTCCATAAATACCTGACCTGTAAGGTAAAACAATGCTAAAGCCAAACAAAATAGCTGGAATTATCTGATAATAAAATGGATTGATTTTGCTTTTGACTTTTTTCTTTCTCTCTCTCCCTTTTTTTTTTTTTTTTTTTTTGGTGAATGCCAGTAGGTCTTGTCTATGTTGTGATTTCACCGTTTCCATGGCAACTACCAAATCTGGTTTCAAGCAGAAGCAAAGCAAAGAAATACAAAGAAGTCCAAGTCCTAAGAAAAATAAATAAGTGGCATGAATTAAATCCATGCTGTGTTTTTATTTCCAACCAAATGGGTGATCCACAGAATTCACTCAGACTCGTCCAGATGGGAAAATACTGTTGCTCCCAAAACCTGTGATAAGGAAGTAATGAAGCCCCAGCATTTGATTGCACACACATGTGAAGACATACGCTAACTATGTGTACTTTTCATTTGAGTTTCACCTCTGAAATTGTTCCAGTAAATATGCCGCATCCGTGCCTCCCTCTACTGTAAACATATGTGGGTGCTATCTACTAGGCTAAAGCTACAGCGCATTCCCTGCAGTGCCCACCTGGTGTGGCTACCATCATCACACTTACCCGAACAACATCCAGCTCCTTGTTCCTCTGCATGAGCTGCTTTTCCAGTTCCACGATCTTGGACATGGCTTCATTCTCTGTGTCTTGCAGTTTTTCCGACAACTGTAAAGTTTTGAAAGGGAAGATGTGTCACAACAAAGGATCATTCTCATCAGGTCCTTGGTTTTCAGAAAGTGTAGCTCAGAGACCACTAGGGGCCCATCAGAGACCTGCATGTGTTCCCCAAGTTGTTTGCTGAAAATGTTAATATTTATAAGATGGTGCTGAATACATATTTGTTTCTAAGAGGAATTCATTTACAAGGGATCCTTAATAAAACCCATAAGTCAGCTCCTTAGTGTTTTGACATACACAGTGTGTCTTTCTCCATTTCTGCAGGGGCCAGCGAGCGTAGAGAATAGTAGGTGAGGGAGGAGGTCGAGTCAGCTTTCCCTAAGAAAAGGCCATTAGGCTAAAGCTTTTGAAAACTGTTGACCCAGAAAACTTGGTTTTGTTGTTATAAGTCACCAGTTGAAAAAATACTATTGCTTGTTTTGACTCAAACTATCCAAATAATAAAAGTCATTTTGGAGGGGTAGTTCAAATAAACAGGTGGTTACTACAATAGCAGGTTATGTAAGTATGGTCATGCAATGCCAGCTAAGGCTTCAGAGAAAGATGGGGTGAGCCATGAGTGAAAGTTACTTTCCACATAAGGCTCTAAAATTGGGCACCTTCTGATTTCTTACATCTCACTGAGAATAATCACACATAAAGAAAATCAGGGAGGCAAGGTAAAGAGGAAGAGTGGAGATTTATGCTGACCAAGTTCAGAATATAATATAAATATTTTAAGGGAAGAGACAAAAAGAGAAAAAGGAAGAGCCTATAAGTGCTCTCCCTAAGCAGGTACCAACTGAGTCAGCACAGCACTTACAAAGGGAGGGCTTTTGGCAACTTGGCTAAACCACAAGCCATGAAGATGCCCCTTTTCAGACTGATGGGAAAAGAGGAAGGACATTAAGCACAAGTAATACTCTTAACTAAGAAAATGCAGAGAAAAATAAATGGACCATTCAAAGAGAAAAACCACATCCTTCCAAAAAGAGACAATTCCTTTCACAATCAAGGACACTTTCAATCAGAATTCAGTAAAAGGATGTGGTCCTCACAATGTTTGGGTTTTAAGACACACCATATTCCTGTTCCTTATACTGAGAGGACACTTCTTGCAAGAAGAGGATATATGGGAAAACTTGCTGATTTCCTTGAAAATGCTACCGTTGAGATGAAGCTATTTAGAACTTGAGTACCCATGAGGCAGGAAAGTGAAGACCCGCATCATGAGGACACTAGATCAGCCCGTCCACAGCCTGCATGGACACATTTGGTACAAGATGACTCACATTCAGAGGAAGATACTTCTTCACCAAACTGACATATTTTAGTTGCATTTCTCTTCAGGTAATGCCAACCTTCTAACTCTCCTGTGCTTATAACTAAGGTGGCCAGGAAATCTGGATGCAGCAGAAACTGAGCAGTGAACAAAGGCAATGGGTTCCACTTAGTTGTAAGTAACATACCTGCCTTCGTTGAACGAGCCCAGAATGGCTTCTGATTGCTCTCTAGCTCAAGTTGCATCTCATTCCTAGACTCCAAATCCTTTCGTTCACTGCCATAAAAGCTAACATCTGTTCTGCCTTGCACCTAGCTGAAACATTAGCCATTTTTCTTTTTCTGAGAGGTAGTTACATGAGAGATGTTTTCTTCCAGTTCTTCCACCCTCTCCAAAGCTGCATTCTTGGTTTCCGCGTCTTCCAGCAGAGCTCCCACATCAAACACATTGTCCAGGTAAGCCTGAATCTGTACCTGCAGCTTGTCACTCTCAGTATGTTTCAGCTTCTAAAAATCAAAATGCAGGAGAACGTGGTGTTAGCATATCTGTGGAAACACAACATAATTACCCAAGAGCCTACATGTTTTTGTTTGTTCCTTCCAAGAGAGGTTTTTGTTGGTTGGGTGGTTGGTTGGTTGGTGGTTGTTTTTTTGGCCACGTCACGAGGCATGTGGGATCTTAATTCCCCAACCAGCTATGGAACCCGGGCCCCTTGCATTGGAAGCGTGGAGTCTTAACCACTGGACCACCAGGGAAGTCCCCCAAGAGAGGGTTTTGTATCTCATTCTCCTTCAGAGAACTCTGAAGTAACCATCTAAGAGGGTACCATCAGATTACTTTCTGGTGCTTACCGTCTCCCAAATATACACACATTTCCTCCCTAATCCTTCCTGTAGATATATTCCCCATACAGATATATTCCAACCTAAAACATTTTTGATGCAGGTGAAATCAAGATAACAGAAAAATCGGAACAACAGTCACAAGTAACATAAAACTTGAGGGGTATCTGTGTGGTAGAGGAGATTAGAGTGGGTGGTATCTTGCTTGGGTAGTGATGGTAGTTCCGGTTGAGGGTGAGGGGTACATAGGAGTCGAGGAAGACACTGATACAGTGTATTAGACTCGGGGATTATTTTAGCACTAGTTCCTAGAACCCATCCCCCATAATTACTTGGCTAAGACACTCCCCCAACATGAGAAGTTCAGGGCTCCCAAAGCACAGATCAGGAACCTTTCCCCCATTCACTGCATTCTAGGGCCAGGCATCCCAAAGGAAGTCAACTAGCTCTAAGGTAAAATTAGAGGTCAAGTAAATCAGTCAATCCTTCTTACAAGTAGCATAAGTCATGTCTTTCCCTGGGGAGCAGATGAGTGGTTAGAATAATATCTGGCACATGGATGATGCCAATAAACATTTACTGAACAAGTCAATGATGACTTACAAGGTTGGGTTTTTGTAAACTAATGAAGCATTTATATATTATATGCTTATGTTATTATTTTTCTAACCACTTCTATCAAAGTCCGGAACCAACAGACCAGGAAGTTAGAGAAATACAGAGTTTTGGGAAAAAATCAAAAATTTAAGAGGAATTCTACTCTACACATAAATTCTCAGGAAAACAGATTTTCTCCTAGGTCTAATCTAGAATTCTACATCTTAGCTGTCTTGAAGAGAGTATGTTCCATCTTAGTTTATGAGTCAGAACCAAAAAAAAATTCTGAACAAGGGCAAAGCCTAGAAAAGAAAATGAAGAAGCAGCTTAGCGGGATTTTTCACAAGATTCACAGTGAGTAACAGGCGCTGATGTTACTACCTGTCATTGTATCCTGGTGCCTGAAATGAGCTCTGTGCAGCCACAACAAAACTGACCCTAAAACCCCATTAGGAATACACCCAACTTTCATTCAAATATTGCTACTCTCAGGACATGTGGAGAAAGAGAAGAGAGGAACCCTGATTTCAAAGCAGGAACAAACTGTTGAATACAATATTCTGTCAAAGATATTAGTCATTCTTTAAATAGGAAAGAAATTCAAACAAACTTTTCAATGGAAATCTTCCATGGCTCCATCTGAGTAGAGTCTTTAGACAACATTAGGCCAGCCTACTCGAGAGCAGCCCAGCTGGTCTGATAAACAAGGCCATGAGCTCAAGAGTAACCAACTCTGCAACTCCACTTCACGATAAACTGAGGGTACCGCCTGTGTAATCCCTGGCTTCACTCGAAAGGGAGATGGGCAGGTGAGCTCTGGAGATGTTCAAGGGAAGTACTTCTATTTTCTTCACTGTTAGAAACAGGCTTGAAATTGAGGTCAACAATTCTTGCCCTATTACCAGTGGCCTTTCAAATTCAAGCGAATCATTCCCTACACAGAAGGGAAAACAAAACTGCCTGAGTCAAAAGACAAGGGCATATCCTGTGCACACACAGCTACTTAAGTCTGTTTATGATTTTCACATCAACTTTGTTTTTTAGGCGAAGTTCAGGGAACTGGCTGAGCACTTCTGTAAGGGAGCAAGAGAAAGAGAAACTTTAGATCCCTCTTCTCTCAAGAACTAAAAGCATAATTTCTAAAGACACAAAACATTTTAAGCAGAATTTAACAGCTACATGAGGAAGTCTCTAGTGTCCACTTCCTCATTATTTTTTGATGCTCCAAGCATTTATTCATTACTCTACAGCAGTATTGGTTTGACTTTCCCAGACCAGATGGAGTCCAAAGAGTAACTAAGAATGCACATTGCCCAACAGCCCGGATGAAGGGTATAGTGAGACTTGACCCAGACAGAGTTCAAAAGCAGAGGAAAGCTGTAGCAAGGCTCTAAGGAAGTTATTTGACTCCAGTACTAAAAGGCTGCTGGCAGAAGACAACGTAAGGCCCTAGGAGGTCTGCAAGAATCCAGCTTCTCTGGTAGATCACATCACTCAGATTGGTTCCTTTAACTAGCACTACAACACCTGACTGCATGGAGCCTTAAGTGTTCTTTGGTCATTATGGAAGTGCATCTTTGAGGGTAGGCAATAAATCAAGTCTCATAATGGAACTAAAGGTTACAGCTATACTTACATCCAAGTATTCATCCAGGCCTAACTTGGTAAATTCATATTGGAGGTGAACTCTGAAATTCATGTCTTCTACTGAATGGACTACAATATTAATAAACTGCATAGAGGCCACCTGAAATGAAATTGTCAACAGGTTAGATGAGCTCCAAACTTGTTTTCTCAGTTTAATCATAGTCACATATTTTCAGTTTCACAAATCTAAGCTCACTTACCAATTTCCTTTTCCTTTGTTTCACTGGGTCTTTAAAAATACTTCACAATTTTTAAAAATTCAAAAGTTATAGAGGTACCACAATAAGATACCACTTCATATCCACTAAGATGCTATCATCAAAAAGAAAGATAATAACAAGTGTTGGCAAGGATGTGGAAAAACTGGAACCCTCATCCACTGCTGGTGGGGATATAAAATAGTGCAGCCACTTTGAAAAGCTTGATAGTTCCTCAAAATGTTATTCAGAGTTACTGTGTGACCCAGCAATCCCACTCCTAGGAATATACCCAAGAGAAATGAAAACATACATCTGCATAAAAATTTGTACACAAATGTTCATAGTAGCATTATTCATAATAACCAAAAAGTAAGGGGAAAAACCCCCAATGTCCATGAACTGATGGATTACACAAATGTGATTGCATTCATGTGAAATATCCAGAATGGGAATATCTATAGAGACAGACAGTAGGTTAGCAGTTGCCTAGGACTGGGGGTGGGAAAAATGACCGCTAATAGGTACAGGAATTCTTTGGGGGTGAGGGGAGGAGGCGGCAACAAAATGTTCTAAATTAGATTGCAGTGATGATTGCACAACCCTACAAATACGCGAAAAATACACTGAACTGAGCACTTCAGATGTGTAAGTTGGATGGTATGTTAATTGTATCTCGGTAAAGCTGTTTTTAAAAAGTCTTATAGGCATATAGAACACACTCAGTTATTACCAGTACATCGTAGAAATATGATAATTATTACAACGAAGAACGTTTAAATCACCTGTAATCACACCACAAGGTAATCACTTCTAAAATTTTACTGTGGGCCCCGCCATACCAACAGGACAGTAACAGAGCTTCTGACCCATCTTTCCATTTTAAACAATCAACCAGTTTCTATTCCATAAAAGCCCTGGATTTGCTACATTCTCCCCACAACTGCATCAGTGGCTCTGATCTGCCACAGAGAAAACCAGTTCCCAGCTTAGTAAATAACAGAACAGAGTTTAACGTATCTATTTTGTTTTCAATAGGGACAGTCAGTTTATTTACAGTGAAAATATCTCACTAATGCTTTCCCTCTATGGTTACCCAGAGACTTGCAAGGAGGTATGACTGTGGGACCCACATTCACACGTACTCTGAAAACTGCCTCCCTCTTCCTCTCTCCCCCAAACCCCACTTTTTTTTTATCTTGTTTAAACTGTTTTTCTCGAGTTAGATTCTTCTTTGAGTATATGTTATCCATTGGGTATCTGTGGAAGATGTGTAAACTCTCTAGGTTACATGAGAAATCTATCACCATTTACTAAAAAATTACGTCAGTTGCTATGGCTCAATAAACTAAAAAAGATTTTGTCACTTTTTTGTTTTCTTTTGCCCACTAAAAAAACATAAATACATAGAAGGGTCTTGTGCTACATGTGAAGCATTTATATTATGTTTTACATGGAATATGTTGTTAGGGAAGTTGTGCGACTTAATTGCATTCCCAAGACAGTGTATGAAAAGCCTCATTTTCTGGAAAAAACAAATATGGCTAGATTTGGGCATCTTTCCATTTCTCTTCTAAAGCAGGTCTAAGTGATCTATCGAGTGTTATACTATGCCGAAGAGGCAACTATTTGCTAGACGGCACATGACTCGGGCACATATATATACTCGAGCACACATACAGTATATCCATACACTAACAGCCTCTAAATAAGATTCTCCAATGCATGTTCACAGGAATAAATGAACCGACAGGAAATATGCTCTCGTTTGTCAACAGTGCAAGTGTTGTAAAGGGCTTACCATCATTATAATTTCAGTAGAAACTCAAATGGCAGAGAGATCTGGTAGGTATGATAAATGAGTGAAGTGGGCCATGTGTAATACAACAGGGAATGGTGTGGACTGTGACAGACTGGAAAGGCTATCTTCAGACTTAAGGAATAGGGACCACTTGGCTCCAGCAGCTGATACTCTACGAACAGGGACCTAGCGTTACCAGAACTTTTTAGTTCTCAGGAAAATCAGAAATCTGTAATTTAAGGCAAATTTTCAAATTTTTTAATGGAAGGACATCACTGTCAGACTAAACTCACAAGCCTGTTTGTATGTTGGCTTCAGCCTGGGAGGCTCCAGTTTGCAATGTCAGCTCTAAAGGAACAAATAAGTTCCCCCTATGAAGGCAGAGGAAAGATCCTGGTCAGGTGAGCCAGGGCATGACTTCTTTACATATTTGTCACCAGTGCAAAAGTTAGCCTTAAACTCTCCAAAAAAATCCCAATAACAAGAACGAAAAAGTCAATGTAAAAGTATTCCTTGTTTCAAAGTTATTTTTTACCTTTTGAAAAAGTACCTATACATATGCTTTATGGAACAGAAAAGCTCTATAAAAGATTTCAACCGATACTGATTTGGTAAGGGGCTGAGGACTACAAAGTATATAAAATTTGAGGACCCAGAAAACATTTTTCATATAAAAGGGTTAGAAATCTGCAAAGCTATGTTCCATGTTTTATCATCACTGAAGCAATTCAAATGAAAACTGCCTGGCATCCCAAGGACAGGTTTTAGAAGACTTGACGACAGAAGAACTGAACGGAATATCTGCTCCAGGCTAGAAGGGATCTGGGAAATTAAGCCCAAGTAAAGCATCTCCTGGGTCCAGAAGTTTCCAAGGTCAACTGAATTAGGTCAAAGAAAGCAGACCTGGGTATACTCAAGGGTAATCTGGCTCTGGAAATTCTCTACAGTGGATTCCACCTTCAGTCCAGGATTAAGATCTAGGTACATAGATTCAGAAGTGCTCAAACTCCTTTTGCTTTTTGTACCTGAAGATGACGGTCCTGCCGCTGAATCACACATTTTTGCATGTGATTTACCCTGCTAAGGAGACCTGCAGTATGATCACACCCTCACAGAATTACTAGAGCAGGAAATCAAGGGAGGAAAAAAAAAAATCACTGCTATGTATTAATTTGGGGGATATATACCGTCAGTTCTACAAACCAAAGCACTTCAGTCTCTGATAATACAGTCTGGAGAAAACCACTGGCTGGGGTGTGCAAAAGGCAGAATGGTTAACATTCTTGGTTTCTAATTTAAGGATTCTTATGAGCACTATTGACAGCTAAAGCTGGCTCTTCCAGGCATTTGTGCCAGGTGTTAACTTCCTTTTCCCAAATGCATGGCTTCACCCTTTGCTATACATACAGTTGACCCTTGAACAACATGGGTTTGAACTGTGTGGGTCCACTCACACGCAAATTTTTTTCAATAGCAAATACTAGGTACTACACGATTCACAGTTGGTTGAGTGTGTGGACACGGAACCGTGTAAGCAGACAGGCAACTGTAAGTTAACAGGCGGGTTTTCCACTGTAAGGAAGGTTGGCGCCCCTAACCCCCCGCATTGTTCAAGGGTCAACAAGAGTACTGTAGTCAGTGCTTTTGGCCTTTACTATAGTGTATACATAAAGAATAAAACTGCAGATAAATGCCATAAAGGTAAAATACAGATTAAAAGAGCAAGTCTAAATTGGATCTTCAGCATATTAAACTCAGTTTCCTATCCTTTATAACATATAATACATATGTATGTATAATATATAAATATAAATGGATTTAGGAAATAACTGCTAAAAACTGAGTTTGCTTTATTGAAAGTAGTACTGAAATAACTCACCATAAAATCTATGTTATTGTCCTCATTTCTGAAATGTTCCATCAACTTCTCAAAGCGCTGTTTTTCTCCACAAACCTGAAACACACATTATCAGCATGCATGTGAAATTCCAAACACAAGCACTCCAAAATTAGATGCAGAAATTTTAGCATTAATAATTATTTCCAGAACATCTTTTTTTTTTTTTTCCCCTCTCTCGCAGGCTATTTACTTCTCTTCCTATAGTTAACACACAAATAGCAAAGTGAGCCAGGACCAAAGCTCACCCTTGGTTTCTCTTGCATGTTCTCTTGCTATTTTGAAATCCATACCGAATGCGCTCTTTTTTCACTGGTCATCTTTGTTTGTCCCACCAATCCTTTTAGCTGGCATTCAGAATCCCAGAATGTTGTTTATGGTTACAAAGAAAAAAAAAAAAAAAGACCATCCTTTTCCTTTTTACAAAAGTACTTTTGAAACAGACATGCTAAAAGATTTTAATAACTTTGTATTTAAATTATTTGAGAAGCAGATTCAAAATGTTCATATCATGTCTAACCAAATCAAATAATTTTAAGCATAAACTACAACACAAAAACTCTGGGAGGCTATCTAACCCATTCACGGTGGATACGAAATTTGCAGTAATCTGTAAAGCAGCACTCCAGAGGCCTGAAATACACACATTCAGCTTGAATTAATGCTTTTGCTGAACAGGTGAAATAAGCAGATAAAATACTGTGAACTCCAGAGCCGCAAGGTATTCTGCTTATACGTGGAATTAAATACATGGAGTTAAGAACACAGAGTCAAAGAAAGATTTGTACCAAATAACGACTCTCTGGAGACTTATGCCCCCAAAAAATCAAAGGATGAACTTTAATTCTTTCAGTGTCCTTGTCTACCTTTTTTGGATCAAAGTCCTAAACCCGCTGATTGATTCATTCCACCTTCAGAAACTATTTGCCCGGACACCCGTGGGCTCCTTGTTATGTTAGTGAGACACAGTCTCTGGTCTTAACATTTTTTGTGAATTTAATCCAGGTTTCACATGCTTAACGAAATTTTCTGATTCCCTTTGTGGTCTTAGGAATACTCAGGCCAATCCTAAATCCTAAAGATTTCTCCTAAAATGATATTTCATAATGCTATAATGCAGCCATTTAATTCTGTCATGTTAAATTCCATGTGTGTGTGTGTATACACATACAGACACATACATTTTGGTGAAGAGAATGTCCAATGAAGGTAGGAATTTTATGTTTTGTTCCTTACTCTATCCTCAGCATCTAAAACAATGCTTATTAGCATGTTGTAAATTCTCAATATTTGTTGAATTGCACTGAATAGAGGATAAACAAGAAATTATGTTAAAATACTCCATTCCATTATGGTTTATCACCGGACATTGAATATAGTTCCCTGCGCTACACAGTAGGACCTTGTTGTTTACCCATCCTATAATAGTTTGCATCTGCTATATTCAATATCCAGTGATAAACCATAATAGAAAAGAATATGAAAAAGAATGTGTGTGTGTGTGTATATATATAAAAATAACTGAGTCACTTTGCTGTACAGCAGAAACTAACACAACATCGTAAATCAACTATACTTCAAAAAAAAATTTTTTTTAAAGAAAAAAATACTCTTAACAAAAGGGTGAATGACTTACTACTACTCCCCATGATGTTTTAGAGCGAAACAAGAAGCCTCAGACCTCCATAGACAAGGACTACGAGTCAGTCTTTAGTAGTGGTTCCTGTGCCTTAACTGTGTGCTGGGAATGCTAAGATGCAGCTCCCACCTTTGAAGGACTTCTAGTCTCAAAGCAACTTAATTTTCTCAACAGATTGAGACCACAGTTTACTATATTCTGATGACAAGTTCCCATTTATCTATACCCACCTAAACAAAAAATAATTATAGAAGACAGGAACAGTGCATGGGCCGGGTCTGGAGGAAGGGAAGGAGGCTCCAGATGGCAGAGTTTAAAGGAAAGCCTTTAAAAGACACGTGTGTCCAATCCCACCCCAGAGAGCCCAAGGCAGGAGGCCCAGGTGGAGCTGGGGTGACATGGGCAGGTACATTTGCAAAGCACTACAGACCATTCTGATGCTCTGCAAAAGCTGAGAACCAGAGATTTAAAGGATGCCATGTTCAGCCCCGGGGCCCACCAGCCCCTCTGGAAAATATGCACAAGTTCCTGGAAAAAAAGGTTTGTTGAATGGTGCACGGAAGTGCAGGACCAGCTCCCTAGACCGTGACATCAGTCACATCTTGTGCCCAAAGGCATACGTGTCTCTAGCCTGCAAAAAAAAAGCCCAATGGGTGAAAACTGGCAAGGCTTGGTATAGAAAAGGTTAGAATTACAACCTAAATTTTCTTTAAGAGAAACCTCAACATAAGAACTTGTTTCCCAGCAGGACAATTTACTTCGATCTGTTTTGGGAGGTGGGTAGTGACAGAAGAAAGGAAGAGAGGTGGCTCTGCGTGTGCGGACAGCTACCAGCTCTCCTGAGAAGCAGGCTGGGATTAATGTCCTGTTGAGCAGCTAGGCACTCACTGAACCAGGAGAGGCAGCGGCCATCAGTGAGCAGTGACGATGAAGACAATTCCTAGGAGGGCAAAGCCTTGCAAATCAAAGAATGTCAGAAACCTGCAAAGTACCCTGGGGAGTCTGGGGCCCTCAATTTATGAATGAGACTGACACCAAGACAGATCAAATATCTCCAACTTGATGAGACGTCCACACAGAGGTTAGAACCAGGTCCCCAACTGCCAGCCTGATGTTCCGTCCCTCACACAGCCCAGAATGTTCAGATAAACATATTCAAGATGATAGTAAAAGCACTCCTGAATTATCTGAGACACCAACAGAGATGGAAAATGATATTATTAAAAACCGCAATCAGTGCTCCCTGCGGCAGCACATATACTAAAAACCGCAATCAGGGACTTACCGGATGGCACAGTGGTTAAGAATACACCTGCCAATGCAAGGGACACAGGTTCGAGCCCTGGTCCAGGAAGATCCCACATGCCTTGGAGCAACTAAGCCCATGCACCACAACTACTGAGCCTGTGCTCTAGAGCCCGCGAGCCACAACTACTGATGCCCGCGCACCTAGGGCCCGTGCTCCTCAACAAGAGAAGCCACCGCAATGAGAAACCCTCGCACCGCAACGAAGGGTGGCCCCTGCTCGCTGCAACTAGAGAAAAGCCCGCACACAGCAACGAAGATCCAACGCAGCCAAAAATAAAAATTAATAAATAAAAATTGAAAAAAAAAACCAATCATCCCAACAGGCATGCACTTGATGTCCGTGCACCTGAATCTCCCATGGAACTTCTAAAAATGGACGATTCTTAGGGTCTAAATCAGGACACACTGAATGAGAATCTCCATGGTTAGAACTAGGAATTTGTGCTTTTAAATAAGACTCAGATTTGTTGGACCAGCATTTAGAAACCAACGGCTTATACGAGTAATAATTAGACGAGCTGATTTAACCCTCAGCCTTTCTGACTACCAACTGTAAACTGGATAGCTACATCATTAACTCCACAACTCATTCAACTTGCAATTTAACTACACAAAAAAGAAATATAGTTACTATAACTGGGTGTCATAGGAATGCAGCAGGGATTCGTCCACTGTCCCTGCATAGGTACAATGAATAATAAGGTTAACTCCTGAATAATCAGGGATTGTGTCCAGGACATTAAGGAAAGTGGATTTTATAGAGCCAAGGAAAGCACATGTGGGCAACAACAAAATTACTCAGATTGTTAATAGAAAGAGATGGCATCAACTCCAGAACAAGCAATATTAGATTAATTTTAAGCTGAGTTAAGATCCCAAAAGTCATAGTACTAGCCTGGTAGACAGGACTGAAATAGGCATTAAGAGGAGCCTTGAATATATGCCTTTCTTTAGAAATCCCTCATTCCATCAACAGACAAATGCATGCTGAGAACATGTGCTATGAAACAGAGTATTAAATACCTTTAATCTTTAAAAATACTAGACTTCAATGTCTTCCAATTTACAGCTCCTAGGAACTTGGTGAAAAGGATCCAAATACATAAAACAACACGTTGCCAACATAGATGCCAGCTTGGGGAAACTGTGAAAGATTGACCACTCTCCTCATTCACTATAAGAACTAGAAGGGCCCCTCCTATCAGCTCCACCAAGCCCTTCTCTGTAAAGGTTTAGACTGCTCAATCTCAACTAATGAATTCAGGGTGGTACTTTCTGACACTGTTCTACAGGAACAGCATGGATTCCCAGGGCCCCCTTCATTTCTGCTGGGGGGAAAAAAAAAAAGGAAGCATATGAACAAGATTCATATTTGTTTCTATGTTACTTTAGCAATCATTAAACCAGAGTATACTACAATCCCACAGGAAATGGGAAGATGTGTTTGGGGAAGGTTGGTAAAAGTCGTGTCCCACATCAAAGGAAAGTTATCCTAGCTCATACAGCTCACATCTGGACCACCCCTGCACACCTGTTTCAAATAAGATCATCATGGCTGAACATGCCTCTTCTCTCCTTTGAAACGGCCTCATTTAGAAACTCTGATGAGGATGAAAGGAACAAGACACTGATCCCGAATGATTTTCCGAATCTACACAATGGCCTTTGGGGGGTGTTCTCAAGGCTTTCATCAAACGTACAGGAGGGCCAGGAGCATGTTTGCACATATATATTAGTGTACATTATAAACTGCTGCATATAACTTCCATCTGCCAACAAAGACCAGACAATATATGATCTGAAAACTTTCAAGTAAAACAACTGTACTATTGCAATTGAAACCTGTCATTTCTTGACTTTTCTCTTCACTGGTATTTCTCATTCCCCCACTAGCTTTGACATCGGTTTCCTATATCAGTAACAAACTCCTATATCATTGGAGTAGGGAGAGTAGGGAGTGAATTTAAGAGACACAGCCATAGAAGGCTGAGCAGAGACTGGAGAGAAGCCTACTGCATCAGGAATTAGACTTCCACAGCCAGGGCCACCAGAAATAAAGTCAACAAGGCAGAAAGAAGTATATGCTTTGTAAAAGCATATATTCTACTGT